CTGGTGGTTGTGGCTGCTTGGGTGGGAGCGATTGGTGATGGGTGGACAAATGACCGATGGGTTTTTGAGTAAATTTTTTTCATTTTATTTACCAATTTACTATTTGTTGTACTAAATAATAATTAGTAAATTAAAATTAGATCCACATAAATAGTAAATGTGAATAACGGGTCAAAATGTGTGGAGTCAACGGGTCATATGAATTGCAGGTGCACAGATGAAAGGACAAAAATGCCCCTTGCAAAAAACTATGTGTAAGTCATGCGCTGTTAGTTGTTTTACGGAAATAAGAGGGAAAAGTAAAAAAATGATAGAATTGCAACTTATAGTGGGGGATAAATTATTTTTAAACTTATAGTGCTGAACGAATATAACTGTCTAAGTTATGGTACTTTATGGATTAACTAGTGAGTAACAATATATAGTGTAATAAAACTAACCAAGAAACAATATTATATTCAATTTATATCTAATTTTAGCAGAGCTATAAACTTTATCCATGAGGTCAAAATAAATAATACTACTCCATCCATTTCAAAATGTAAGTCTTTTTAAACTTGGCACGTAAATTAAGGAGACAATCATCCAATAATTAATTTATGTGTTAAATATCTTTTTTACCCCTCATTAATTACATTGAAACTATAAACAAGATTAAATAAAAATAAATTAACATCATTTATTGAGAGTAAATTTAAAAAAATAGTCATTAATTTACCTACAATTTATAAAACGATCTACATTTTGAAAAATCTCTCCAAACCTAAAACGACTTACATTTTAAAATAGAGGGAGTACTACTTATTTGTAGAAGTGGAGCAAGAAAGTCGTTTAAATAAATCGAGCAGCCACTAATTAAGATACCGACTCAAATGTACTACTATTGGACTTTTGCATTTATCGTTTATACGAGGAGAGCAAATCGCAAAAAAATTTCCAACCCGTAAATTATTGAACATTTTCCCCGACGAACCCGACTCATATGAGGAGCGTAGTGATGCTGGTTAGGTGGCCAATGGCCATTGGAACCGATTAAACGCAAACGTTCTCACCATATATATTCTTCTATAACCAAGCAATCGTATTTTGTGTTTCACAAACTAATAAGAACAAATATTAATTTCATAAATTATATGTGCCAAACTGCATCATTAAAAATAATGCAACGGTTGCACGCAAAAACTACTGCTCAACTTCAAACTAACAAATAATAAATGTTACATTCATCCTAAAATGAATAAGGATACGTGTAAGAACGTGTTTTCTTTTCTTTTTTTTTTTTAAAAATTAGTTTGCACGAGTTTAAAATCTAAATAAATCAAAGTAAATTTATAATTGATTAAAAGTTTTACTACTACATAAATAATACATACGTGTGTACCAAATTGGGATATGTATAACAAAAACAGTCATGTATATGTCTTTGGCTTGTATGTTACACTATAGTATTATTGCCTTGAACATCTTTGGCCAGTGGAATAGATTAATAAAGAAAAAAACTATATACAATGATGTAAATTACTATCCTTTATGTCTCTATTATTTTGGAATGGAGATAAACAGATAATTTATTGAATTGACAATGATTTTGAAACAGAAGAGTAATTTATATTTGAATTTTTCATTGAAAATGATATATATATATATACATAGTGAAAATATATAGCGAAATAGAATAATAATTAATATGACGCACTTGTATATACATAATCATTCTGTATTATATGGTACTTATTGAAAAATTAGTATGATTTGTTTATATTTTATTTATTACTATTGCATTTCACTATAAATTATCTCCGTTTATATTATTTTTTTAATTTATATTTAATTGAGAACTACGTTAAAAAGGGTGATACACACAAGAAGGTACGAAGGGTTCGTTCTCCATGAATTGAATTGAACCGCACCCTAAGAAAGAAACTTGAAAAGGGAAAAGAGAGTAGGGTAGTAGTACTGTGATTGGGAATGACGCCCGACTTCTGACTAAAGCATGACCGACTTCAGCGCGTGACTCTAATCTGCCGTACGGACCGACTCAAGAAGAGAGTAAATACTAACTAGTATTACTCCTAATTTAGGTGTGGAACCGGGTGGTTAGCCTCCTCCTTATTCAATTTTTACTTACCATTTCTTTTATTATTCTTTTTTTTTTATATTTATTTCCAAAAGAAATCTCATTTTCCCCCTTTATATGGATGATTGGTCCGAGTGAGAAGGACAGTAATAAAATAATTCTACCTCTGTTCCAAAATTATTGTTCAGTTTGAGATTTCATTTTTAGTATAATTTGAACTAGAAATGAAAACTCAAACTGAACAATAATTATGGGACAGAGGGAGTAACAATTTCTATAGATAAAAAATGTTTCATCTTTTATTTGGAAACTTCACGAGCGAAACAGGTACAAGTTTATTTGGGTGGATGTCCTTGGAAATAATAGCACATTAGTTTGATGACCCCTTTATTTTTTTCCAAAAAATTAAAAACATACTGTATTATTCACTCAATAAATTTATATATACAAATTAAAACGAAAAATAATATCTAAGAGAATTTATTAAAAGAGCCATGAATATGTGGAGACAAATTCATCTGTATAGCCATGAATTTATTTTTGTTCATCTGTATAGCCAGTCATGGCAGAAAAATTCAATCATTTGCTGTTCTTAATGATTCGGATTTGACCCTTAGTAAATCTTTACCAAGAGATAAATATTTTTTAATCGCTATTTTTTTTTGGTATTTCTGCAATTTACCTTTTGTTAATCATGAGATGATAATTTGTGTCCGAATAATACAAAAATCTTTTGTGAATAGTACCACTTTAAATTGACAGACAATAAAAGAATCATAAACATATATCATGCGGTGCAAAAAATGGCAACATTTATTAAAAGCTGTTACATATTGAGCTAATAAATTGAAGGTTTTATAAATTCAGCGTTGAAGGAAATAAATTAAACTGGTCCGGCTTAATGCGTATGCTATACAGCGTTATTATTTGCACATATTAAATGCCAATGAATTATTAACGATACTAATTTGTAGGATGCGTTAATCTTGCTTGATTCAGAAGCATCCAAAATGACCATAATAAATCAGACTGTATCCTAACGGCCAAAATCTACATAATTTTTTGTTATTAATTTATTTCATTTCCAAATTAGAAGAGATATATGTCGAATTTTTTAAATCAATGTCGTAAAAATTATTATACTACCAAATTAGGTAATCAGTAATCACATATTCACAGAATTTGATAATGATGCATAGGGTAAACTGCAAATTTACTAGGTACTGTTCATCCAGACAAGTAGACATTACTTTTGTGATTTGTTGTGGATATCAATTCCCATCAACCGACCGCCAATTCACCAATTCATGGAAAAAAAAAGCGTCGGAAATAAGTAATAATTGATTGCACTTACACTATCTCCACTTTTGTTTCTCTTTCAAATAAGAAAAAGAAAAGGAAAAAAAACACAAATAATAGAATGATGACTGGTAAATCTCGCCACGAATTATCACGAGATCAAAGATTTAAACATATTTGTGGGACAATTAGAATAAGAAGATATTACTTGTTGATAAACTTTTGTTTTTATCGAAAGTATATTATATCAGAAGTAACTTAATTAATGGACACGTGTGAAATAAAAAAGATATAGGTACACGCGGTGTTACAGATGATATTTTATTTATTAAAGAGCTGTACATATAAGAATGTAAGACCCTAAGAAGTTGGGAAACGCAGAATCACAAAAAGAAAAAAAAAAGAAGAGATATTACCTACCAAACATAAGCGGACAAATGTAGTAGTGTGTAATTATGCTAATTTTTTCATTTATGGTAATAACCGATTTTCACCATATAAAACACAAATGCAGAATTCAGTCCACAAAAAGTCAACGAAGCTAATGATTTTCCTAAAATAGAATTACCAAAAAAGTTAAAAAAAAATTTAATACTAATAATTTAAAAAAAAGATAATAACTATAACGCTGAGTCCACAAACTCCGCTCCGTGAGGACTCCCGCAACTAATAATTGTTTATTAATTCTCCTTCCAGCTCAAAATAGCTCATGCCGGTAACCCTTCTTCGAAAACCCCGCAAATCCAGCCGAATATAAATCCATATATTAGACGTGTTTAAGGCAGCTATAAGCACTTTCACGTATCATAGTTTCCACTAACTTATCACCCATTTTGCTCCATAAGCCAAAAACCCTATCAAAATGCCGTATCACCGCTTTAAAGCACTTATCATCTCGCGCCTATTTATTTTGTCGCCCTCCTCCCCCACTCATCTCATTTCTCTTCCCCCAAATTTCTCTCTCTTTCTCTCTCTATCAGAAGAATCCCAAAAAACACACAAAAAAAGTGTTTAATTTTATGGAGAGAGAGTATTAAGTAGGAAATAGTGTTAATTCTAAATTTTCCTTTTTTTGATTTTTTTTTATAGTTTCTATATATATATATATATATATATATAGAAGAAGAGGAGAGAAGAAAAATAAACTGAAGCAGGCAGCCCAAGCCAAAAGCACATCTTCATCTTCTTTTTCTTCCTTCACAAAAACCCTCCGATCTGTTCTCGTTTCCTCTCTCGTTCATTCAAGGTATACTGCTCTCACCGTTTCCTCGATTTTCATTTGTACGAATTTTTATAATTTACATGCAGCGGTGCAGCTGTGGATGAATATTTTTGGTTTTTTTTTTTTGGGGTATTTTTGATGTGAATTTTTGTTAGGTTCTTTGACTGGGGGAATTGTTTGATTAAGTTGTGTTTGATTGTACTGTTTTTGTTGATCTAAGAAGGCGAGGTTTGTGTTTTTCTGGTTTAGGAGGGTAATTTAGTAATTAAGATTTTATTTTTTTGTATGTTTTTAATGATGATTATTATTATTTCCTTAATTTTTTTAATGGATATATTATTATTCTTATTTTATTTTTTATTTTTTGTTTTTGCAGGTGAAGGAGAGTGAAAGGTAGCGAGTATGTCGTCCCTTAGCAGGGAGCTCGTGTTCTTGATACTCCAGTTTTTGGATGAGGAGAAATTTAAAGAGACTGTTCATCGGTAAGGGTTTTAATTTTGTATCATTTTGTTGTGGATTTTTTTTTCTCTCTCTGCTGTCGTAATTATTAGTGTTTATTACAGCGTGTGATTGTCTAACTGAAGGCAATTTAAGTAGTGGAATTGAAAATCTGGGATTGATCTAAAAGGGATATTTTTATTGAGTACTGGATTAGCATTTGGCAGCTGGTTAGCTCTTCGATTGTCGGATATACCCTTTTAATTAGGTGTTAATTAGATAGTGTGCCAGAATTATTTGTTCACTTTGGGAATGTGGAGTGTTGTGCTGCTTTGCTGTCTCAGGAATGTACGAGCCCCTGTTTTGCTTGTATTTTTGTTGTTCGCTAATTGCATATTGACGTGACATAGGTTGGAGCAAGAGTCTGGATTTTTCTTTAATATGAGACATTTTGAGGAAATGGTGACAAATGGTGATTGGGATGAGGTGGAAAAGTATCTATCTGGGTTCACTAAGGTGGATGATAACAGATACTCAATGAAAATCTTTTTTGAGATCAGAAAACAGAAGTACCTTGAAGCTTTGGACAGGTTCGTTGTCATTCATTTGTTTTGTACAATAGGTGGTTTCCGCGTGTCGAGTTGCTTTTGGTGTAGGAGTTGTTCATTGTCATATTATGCTTTGTCAACTAGGTTGTTTCCCGTGGGTTGCTTTTGCTTCTGAGATCTTTTTGTCGATTCCTGACGTCAAGTTCATTGTCGGTCTGTATTAATGCAGGAAGGATCGTGCCAAAGCTGTTGAAATTCTCGTGAAGGATTTGAAAGTCTTCTCTGCTTTTAATGAAGACCTTTTTAAAGAAATTACGCAACTACTGACGTTAGAGAACTTTAGGTAATGCATGACACATTTGGGTGCTACCTTCAGGATATCGAGTAGCGTAATTTCCACTATTTGCATTTCCCCCCTTACTGTTGTCGGTGTACTGCAATTATTAATTTAGTTTTTACCCTTTTCTGTTGTCGGTTGTCGGTTGTCGGTTGTCGATTTTGACTCTGAAATGTGATATATCAGGGACAATGAACAACTATCAAAGTATGGAGACACTAAGTCTGCGAGGGGGATAATGCTTGTTGAGCTTAAGAAGTTGATAGAAGCAAATCCATTATTCCGCGACAAGTTAACATTCCCCACCTTGAAAAACTCTAGGCTGAGGACACTAATCAATCAGAGGTTTGTCCTTAATGATAGTTAGTCATGGTTGTTGGCTTGATTTGTGTTCTTCACTTGACAATAAGCATATCTGCAGTTTGAATTGGCAGCATCAGCTCTGTAAGAATCCTAAGCCTAATCCAGATATCAAAACCCTGTTTGTGGACCATTCTTGTGGGCCATCACAGCCGAATGGTGCGCGAGCCCCATCTCCAGTAACTAATCCTCTGATGGGAGCTGTTCCTAAGCCTGGTGCCTTCCCTCCTTTGGGTGCCCACAGTGTAAGTAGGCGAGAAATGGAGAAGATATGCAACTTTGTCTATATTTAAACTCCATTGTCAGATTCTGACTTTTAATATGTCCTGAAGCCATTTCAGCCAGCACCAGCACCGATGCCGACATCTCTTGCAGGGTGGATGGCTAATCCTTCACCTGTTCCCCATCCTTCAGCTTCTGCTGGACCCCTTGGTTTTAATCCACCTAACAACCCTGGTACTGCAAATTGTTTGATTTATTTATAATTCAAGAATTGGTGTAGTTGTTGGAGATGTATTGTCCTCTTCCATCTGCTTGTTGGTTTCTCCCCCTCTTTATGTGGTTATAACCTTATATATCTGTTACTTGGAATATCAATTCCACAGGAGCAATGTTAAAGCGTCCTAGAACTCCTCCTGCAAACAATCCAGCTATGGATTATCAAACAGCTGACTCAGATCACGTGATAAAGAGATCAAGACCATTTGGAATGTCAGACGAAGTATGTAATCATCATCCTACTCCCGTCACTGGAGTGAGATAGATTATTGATTAGGCAAAGAGATTCTGAAACTGGACATATCCTTTGTGTCTTAATGTCTTACAACCAAGAATTCAAGTGCAATTAACCTCTCTATTTTTGCAGGCAAGTAATATTCCTGTCAACATCTTGCCAGTTGGATTCAGTGCTCAGGGTCATAGTCAGACTCATGGTCAGAGTTCATATTCTTCAGATGACCTGCCTAAGAATGTGGTTATGAGTTTGAGTCAGGGTTCAGCTGTCAAGAGCATGGATTTTCACCCTGTGCAACCAATTGTACTTCTTGGTTAGTTCTTGATGATTTAGATTTGATTTGAATCTTGTAATAGCTTTTGCTCTCAGTCGGAATTGATCGTGTAATCTCATTAATACTAATATTTAATAGTCATTTGCTTCAGTTGGGACAAACACAGGAGAGGTTATGGTGTGGGATTTAGGCAGTCGGGAGAGACTTGCTCATAGAAGTTTCAAATTGTGGGATCTTGGAGCATGTTCAATGGGTCTGCAGGTGAGCTTTAAATCTTTGGTGATGGATTCCTTGTGCATAGAAACTTTTTAAAATTATGCTCCAGTTCTCTGTGCGCATAAACCTGGTGTTTTTTACTGGGAGATGAATTAACATTGGTATCTTGTTTTTATTTGTCAGACATCTTTAGCTAGTGATTACACTGCGTCAATCAACCGTGTAATTTGGAGCCCTGATGGCACTTTGTTTGGTATGTAAATGGTTGAGATTTATGTTTGGAGTTCTGTAAAAGATGCTCTTTTTTCTTCTCCGGTCACCCTTTTGCATGTTCGGAATATTTCCTACAGAATCAATGGGAACAAAATTTTCTGACATCTCTTGCTGTTGATCCAGGTGTCGCCTATTCAAAGCACATCATACACATATACTCTTACCATGGGACAGATGATCTGAGAAACCATCTTGAGGTCCTCATTTTAAACCTTTGTTCCTTCTATCTTGTGGTATTGGAGGCCTTTAGTTTTTATCAATTTATCTCCGATATTGCTTGCTAGCATTGTACTTTTAGAAGTTTGATTTGGCCTTCGAAGATCTATTGGACCGAGATCCTCACTTTATTGTTTCTTAATGCAGATTGAAGCCCATGCTGGTAGTGTCAATGATCTCGCGTTCTCTTATCCTAACAAACAGCTTTCTTTTGTTACTTGTGGGGAGGATAGGCTTATTAAGGTTTCTATAATCATTCTGTCATTCTCTACCCGTCTTTCTTTATGGAGAAGATCCAAAAGTCAGTCATATGGATTAACGGTTTTGGTGAACAGGTATGGGATGCAGTGACTGGAACCAAACAGTTCACATTTGAAGGCCATGAAGCACCTGTTTATTCTGTGTGTCCTCATCACAAAGAAAGCATTCAGGTATGAGTTATTCTCTTGTTGCCTTTTGTGCATGGTTTTTTGGTTTTTCTTAGACGTCGTTGCTCGAACTCCTTCAGTATGGTCAGCCAATACTATTTAGATCCCTTAATTTTATATTCTGAGATCCAAAATCGACAATGGGTAATAGATGAGAAGAACCATGTGTCCTTTATAGAATATGGTTTCCTCTCCTGTGGGTAGGAAATTTTAGATTATGAACTCCATAGCCAAGTTGGAAACTTGTGGTTAATAAAAACACGTTGGTTCAACTTTTCTTATGACTTAGGTACCAGCTTCATCTTATTAATGTTTTCCTCTCTTAAACCAGTTCATCTTCTCAACTGCAACTGATGGAAAGATAAAGGCTTGGTTGTACGATAACATGGGATCAAGAGTTGACTATGATGCACCTGGCCATTCGTCCACCACCATGGCATACAGTGCCGATGGAACAAGGTTGACAAAAATGCTCATATCTCTTCCTCATTCTTAATTGTCATGCCTTAGGCTGCTAAACTTTGGACCAAGGCCTGTTATTTTTCTACTTGCATTTATAATATCAGGAATACCTTTTTGATTGTGTTATCATTTTAGGTTGTTCTCTTGTGGGACTAACAAAGAAGGGGAGTCGTACCTTGTGGAGTGGAATGAAAGTGAAGGGGCCGTGAAACGAACATATATTGGTTTAGGGAAGCGAGCTTCTGGTATTGTACAATTTGATACCACGAAGAATAGATTCTTGGTTGCTGGTGACGAGTTCAATATCAAATTTTGGGATATGGACACTGTTAGCTTGTTAAATAGCACAGATGCAGATGGTGGATTGCCGGTAATGGACAGTCCGTCCTAGTACTTCTCCATTTTTTTTCTTCTTTTCAGCTACCTGCTAATTTTGTGTCTATACTATCTGCTCAGGCTTCACCTAGCATCCGTTTCAACAAGGATGGAAATTTGTTGGCTGTCTCAACAAATGATAATGGGATTAAAATCTTGGCCAATGCAGAAGGTGCCAGGCTACTTCGAACCATGGAAAACCGCCCATTTGATGCTTCTAGAGTTGGCCCTGCCAATCTTGCGAAGGTTCTTGGAAATTTTCCACCCTTGTGCATCTTTCCCTTTTCTGTGCTTGGGACTGAGCTATTCTTTCTTTTATGCAGCCACCTACTGTAGGTACATTTGGTACCGGTAGTGCAGCTATTGGGTCAACTATTGTTGATAGAGTTGCTCCACCTATGGTTTCAATGGTGTGTTTTTGTCATTAGATGTTTGGCTAGACAGCCTGTTTATAACTTTCTATTACTGTGGAATTGATATATGTTTTGATGTTTAAAGGAATATTTTTCCTGTAATGGAGATTAGCTTGTGCATCCCTATGGCGTTCCATACTGAAATTTTCATCCTGGCTTCCTGCAGAATGGCGATAATCGGAACATGGCTGATGTCAAACCTAGAATTCCAGATGACTCTGCGGACAAATCAAGAATATGGAAACTGACAGAGATTAATGAACCATCACAGTGTCGCTCACTGAGGCTGCCAGATAGTTTGACTGCCATGCGGGTGGGGAATCTCTCTCTCTCTCTTTCTCTCTCTCTCTCTCTCTCTCTCTCTCTCTCTCTCTCCTGTAGACTCAACAATAAAGATTGCATTATAAGTTCTTCAAAATTGAAGTCAGCACTCTTGATTTCTGCCGTAGTCACATTCTTGTATCCATCACTTTTTTGCCAATATAGGTTTCAAGATTGATCTACACAAATTCAGGAATTGGCATATTAGCTTTAGCTGCGAATGCTGTGCACAAGCTCTGGAAGTGGCCCAGGAATGACCGTAATCCGTCTACAAAGGTGCTGGTCTTCAGGGATGACTTCCCTGTCCTTTTTCCCCTCCCTCTTTTGGAATTTTAACTTACTACTTAAACCCAATTCAGGCTAGTGCTGGAGTTGTGCCACAACTGTGGCAACCTGCTAGTGGAATATTGATGACCAATGATATCAGCGATACAAATCCTGAGGATGCTGTTCCATGCTTTGCTCTGTCAAAGAATGATTCCTATGTGATGTCAGCCTCTGGGGGGAAAATTTCTTTATTTAACATGATGACCTTTAAGGTACGTGTCCTGAATGTGCATATTGTGAGAAGTTTGTGATTGTTACGTTATGAATCTAGTGGGTAGGTAGGAGATGTTTATTGAGTCTCATGAATAGTGTAGACTGTTTTCACTTTTCAGACCATATTGGAATAAAAATCTAAGGTACTTATCATGTATACTTGGGCAAATGGGTACCAATAGTATCCTTTGTGCTGATGGCGTTAAGATCTTACTCATGTGAAATGTATCTACTACCGATGCACATCAGTGAACTAATATTCAAGATAGTGCAATGTTGGTGTTTGAATTTATTGTCTTATTTGCCATGGGAGTTGCCTTTGTAAACTAATGATTCTTCTGTTTGTAAATACAGACCATGACAACTTTTATGCCGCCTCCACCTGCTGCAACATTTTTGGCATTCCATCCTCAAGACAATAATATTATTGCCATAGGGATGGAGGACTCGTCCATTCAAATATACAATGTTCGGGTTGACGAGGTTGTCTTTAATTTCGATGCCATAATTCTTTGATTCAAAATTATTGGCCACATCTCAATTTCTCTCCTTGTCATTTGTGCAGGTTAAAACCAAGCTCAGAGGCCATCAGAAGAGAATTACGGGCCTTGCCTTTTCTCATGCACTCAACGTGCTTGTATCTTCAGGAGCAGATTCTCAGGTAATATTTCTTGGGGACTGTGCTCCTTGAAAGTTGGTGGACGTCATATTAATAAGCTGTGAAACATCGATACATTTTTCCATTTTCGTATTTTGTATCTGCAGGTTACCTTGTGAGGGTCTTAGGGACTAGTTTGCTGATTTCACTTGCCTAGTAATGACTTAGGAGTTTTAGCATATGGTATTATGATGAGTTCTGTTAGTAATTCATTGAATAAGTATTTACTCAATGTTGTGCTGTCACTGCAGTTGTGTGTCTGGAGTACTGATGCTTGGGAGAAGCAAACAAGTAAATATTTGCAGATTCCTGCTGGGCGTGCTGCTGCTCCACTCGCTGATACCCGTGTTCAATTCCACCAAGATCAGACACATCTGCTAGCAGTCCATGAAACACAAATAGCAATATATGAAGCACCAAAGCTGGAATGTCTCAAGCAGGTGACTTTTGAGTCTGCTATCATATTGCTTCTTGTGTTATGACATTCTGTTGCTTGCCATATAGGTCAAATTTGTTTTATCTTATCAAACTTGTTCTTTGAAGTGAGTTAAAATGATGCTTTAGTGCTTTAAAATTGTCCTGCCACTTGCCCTTTTTTTTTTGGTCCAGATCTTTTTATTAGCCTTTTTCCGAACATCCTGTATAATCATATACATGAAACCCAAAGCTGGTTTAAGTGGGATTTCTGTTTATCCAGTATCCTGATCATTCAATTGTTCTCCTCTTGGATAGTGGGTTCCTCGAGAAGCAAGTGGCCCAATCACGCATGCTACCTACTCTTGTGATAGCCAGTCAATTTATGTCAGCTTTGAAGATGGAAGTGTGGGTGTTCTAACTGCTACGAGTTTGCGATTGAGATGCCGTATTAATCCAAGTGCATACCTGCCTAGCAATCCATCGTAAGTATCATCTATGTAAAAGTTTGCTGGATAGATTCTGTTTCATCCATGTGATTCTAATTTTCTTAAGTTTTTTATGCAGTTTACGGGTCTATCCTTTAGTCATTGCCGCGCACCCATCCGAACCTAATCAGTTTGCCTTAGGTCTCTCTGATGGTGGAATTCATGTATTGGAACCACCAGAATCTGAGGGCAAATGGGGTACCTCACCTCCGCTTGAGAATGGTGCTGGACCGAGCACCTCTGGTGCAGCTAGTTCAGATCAGCCACAGAGGTAGCAGTCTGTCAAAGAGGAACAAGGTGGACTGCATCATTTGGAATGTAATGTGTTACCCTGTAGTGTTCACCATCAGGGTTTGCTTTAAAATTAGTTGTAGTCTGTAGGATATGACATTGGCAACATTTAGTGTTAGGGAAAGGGCAGAGTACATTTGCTTGTCTTGCCAACATATTTCTGTTTATTACCTTACAACTGGCATTAGTTTGGATACCTGGTGTAAATTAAAAGAGAAATGTTTAGTGAAGCTTTTTTTGGGGAAATGTTATTCAGCTCTGAAATGATGGATGGGCTTCTCACCTGATCAACCCCTTTTTGTCGGTATTTGTGCGGTAGGATTTTTCTGCAATAAGCTATTCTTTACTCTTTACAGCGCAGATGTTCAGTGGAGAAGCCATAAGGTTTCTTGATGCCTTCTTATATGCTTTTTAATCTATTCGCTTCACTCAAAAGATACAGTTGGCTTCTGAAAGTGTTGGCAGCCTCGATAAACCGCTAACCAAATAGATCAGTTGAAGATTGAAATACTTGAGGTTTTTGGACATCTCGAAAACAAAACCAACTACATTTTTAGGTACTTGATTTATCAAGAGTTCCTTCCAGTTGACCTTGATCTTTGAGGGAACCAAAACGTTCTTCTATGCTAATGCTTTTTCTTTCATCATGCAATCAAGAAACCAGAAAACTGTACCATTCTCGGCCTTGAAGCAAACGGATACAGGAGGCAACAACGCTATGCAGCATTATAACACGATCTAGAACAAAGGACACACACACACACACACACACACTCATAAAAATTTGAGGGGTTGAGCGCATAATCCCACTTCTATATATAAAATTTGTATGATGCAATTTACAGAATACACAGCTTAGAAGATGATAGAGAAATACTCCTCCCGCAGTCCCGCCTCATGCAAACAACGATTTTATGAATTAAGTGTCAGGCAGGGTACAAAAAGTTTTGGAGCTGGGGGAAGGTGTAGTCCTTTTAGCCCTTTCTTCTACCAGACTTTTGGCGCCTTCTCGAACTACCTGCAGACTGGCGGCTTGGCTCGACTGGTAGAACAGTACTATCTTTAAGCCCTTCTGAATCAGCCGAGGCAGCAATCATCTTTTGAGCCTGAAGATAAACTTGCAAGTCTCTAATCTGAAATCACAGGCCAATGCAATTAGTATTGAAAAGCTAGAAATATTTAATAACAAAAATAGATGGAAATACCTGTTCCTCCAGATCCAAAATCTTTTCATCTACAGATTTCGTCAGTGAACTATACCTGAAACATCCCCAAGAGCACAAACGAGTTTAAGTAACATCAAAAACACTTAAATGCCAACTTATACAATTTCACAGACTAAATCAAGAAGAAAATGAACCCAAGAAAACGAATCCACGTGGTGTTAAACAATCTGCACAATGCAGTTATTGAAAATTGCAACAGAGCGCTCTCAATTGTAGGGGACATAAAGGCTACAAACAAAGCCAGAACCAGTTCCAGAAGTCTTACAATCAGATTGATAATTAAGGGAAACATCATGATTAATAATAATTCACAAGGATAACGAAAGAAAACACCAAAAAGGTGACCGGTGATTGTCTACATTACTTACTTGGCCTCAGCGTTCTTGTACTCTAGTTGTAGTAATTCCTGCTTTTTAATCAAATCCTTGTTTTTCTGAGGAGAAAAAGAGAAACAGGCATACCATATTAGGCAAGGAGCATATAGCATTGTTCATCATATCAAATAATACTACACAACCTATCAGCTCCCGATCTCCATAATTCTATCCCTAGGAAGTGGTAAATCGTGTGTCACCGTGGAAAGACGGGGAAAAAAAAGTCTTGCACTAGTTTCTCCTCTCAAATGTTAGGAAAGGTAGACATGTAAGTATGCATGGGAAAGAGAGATGACCTGGGCAACAGCATTCTTTTCCTCTTCGCAGCTATCCAATTTGGACTGCAACTCATGCATCCTTGAAAACATAGCTTTCTCAACTGCTCTTGTAATATTGCCCTCCTTGCTAGTTCTCACTTCAGCAAGCAATGCTTCATAATTCTAAACAAACATTGCAGGTACCCAAATGAATAAAGACTACAAGCTATACTTAAGAAAAAACTCCTCAAGGAAGATTTACTTACTTGTCTCTGGGTGTCTAGTTAAGGAAGATTTACTTACTTGTCTCTGGGTGTCTAGTTGGTTCGTAAGGAGATCATTATACTCAGCAACAATCTGTGGACAGCAAACACAGTTGCTTCAGTTTGGAGCCAAAATGACCTTCAGCCAGAAAAGAAGAGGAAAAACAAAAGAAAGTCCAAGCTAGCCTGCACTAATTATAGCAACAAAGTGTCTTCTCATCCTAATGACACAAAAGTATCATTGTGACATATACTGCTAAATAACTGTCCTGTATTTTTTAATAAAAAGTATCAATGAACTAGTATATGCACTTAAATAACAGGGATAGTTCGTTACGGCTTCAACTTTGCTGCTGAAAAGCGCAGTATTAAGTCCCGAATCCCCTTCAAAATGACATGTACCACATCCAACATCACTTGAAACAAGGGGAGAGTTCATCGAAACAGACTTTCCATCAGCTTTTGATTGGTTTAGCCGGTGAACATATTTGTCCTCTACATAATCCCATATCTGTTGTGATTCCAATTCAAGGGAGAAGTGATGCTTTGTGTCATTCCAATGCCTAATAGCATGCCCCTCTTGGTACCTAGGAATTATAGAAGATCGTAGAAACTATCAGATTAATAAGAACCCAAAAATGTGAAAATGTAGAAGAAAAAGGCATCGACAAGAAAAACTGCATCACCTCCCACATCCCACAAAACCACAAATAAGACAGATCCAGAGGTTCCGTAACGTTCCACAAGCAGCACAGGTTGGCTTCTCATCCTCCTGCTGGCAAAGTCGGCAAACCTGCATAAAGTACCAATAGCAGAATCAGAAACTAAAAATCCAGCAAACTACTCAAAAGGTTCCATGATGCATTAAAAATAAAGAATGGATGGTGGGTAGTATGTAATGTCATCTTTCCCTTGCCTCATTTAACTTAAGGTAGGAGAAAAGAAACAGTTCTCCAAGTGCATATTAAGCATGAGATTCTCCATAGAATATCATCTAATAAGCAACATAACAGTCCTGTAAGAAACCAACCAAGACTGGAGCAGCTAGAAGAATTTTAAATGATGCATAAGAAGTATAGAAGTTACTTATGAACTGACCTGACATGATTGATAAGTCCATTTTGAAACACATGAGCAATGAAAGTAATGATCGCAAAGAGTAACTTGGATTCCACTTGTATCTTGGTCCAACCTCTCTTTAAATGATGAACAAAATAAAAGGGAAAAAAAAATTATATCACTCATATTTCTCCAAGATAAATAAGATAAAAAAGCAATCAAAAGAATATCTATAAAGCCAAGAACTACTAACCAAGACAAATGGGACAAGTTGGCAATTCTGTAAAACCAGCAGGTGGAGTACTGGCAATCTCAGCCGAGTCAAAGTACTCAACAGATTGAGTAAAGTATATATGGCACACTTCAGCCTGAGATTCAACCCCAAAACTAAGTGGCTATCACAGACATACAGATATCAATATCTAAAATGTTCAAGTACCTCGAAACGTCGAAATCTTTTCCCATTGAAACTACGATAGAACCCCTCCGCAGCCAATGGGTCTTCAGCCCTGATCAGCACACTATATCTATCTTCCACCCCATCATTCCTGGGACGCATTTTCCGTATAAACAAACATTTCAGTTCTTTGTATACTCAACAGGTTTCCCGAATAAAAAGGTAACTATAGACTTGCTGTGTGAAGACCAAAAAACATAGTCACTGAATCCCCAGAATGAGTTGTTCACGTCAGTATCATCTCAGACCTTGGATACATATCAAACATTTGATTTTTATGAATAACCTTATGTTTAAAAAACATATAATATTGATATTCTTACCAATTAAGTGATAAAAAACAAGTGATTATTCTATAAGCGTTTGTTTACAACCAAAATTCTTGCTGCTAAATTGTCAAGTAAAACCACCATAAAAGGCAAAAATCAGCATGAACAAAGGTGATAGTGATTGTTAAACATGGCAAGAAAACTTCCAATGCGAAATTCAAGTGTAGTTCTTAATCCGAAACTAAATAGATTAATTCCTTAACACGACGATCACAAAAAGGGGGAGTTATATGGGGATACTGACCTGAGGAAGCGAATCTCTTGGAAGTGATTAACTTCGTTGCCGCAGAAGAGGATGAAGTCATCGACGGACATATAGTTGGGAACGGCGACGATAAAGAGGTGGGTGGAGCGGAGGGAGGGGTTCGAAATGCCGGTGGCAGCACATGGCGGAGTGGAGGGGGGAAGGAGGCGGAAGAGGTGCGGAATTCCTCGGACTTCGGTGGCGGAAAGAGAGATATCATCCTTTGAGCCGCTATTGCTAGGTTTTAAACCGCCGGCGACGGCGGCGTAGGTGACCGTGATCGGGAGGCGCTGAGGGGAATCGACGGAGTGAATTCGGAGAGTAAACATGTTCAATTTCTTTTTTTCTTATTTTAATTTTCAAAAGCGAAAGGAAAAAATTAAAACGAGAGGGAAATTTATATGCAGCTTTTGTGGTTGCATCGTCTTTTATACCCTTCTCGATCAGAATTTGTGGGATGATGGTGATTATTGAGTCGGTGAGTGTAATGCAATTTAAAAATGCTGGAAGAGTAACAGGTGCATTCATCAACACGAAGGGGAAATCATTTTAGATATCACCTCTAAAATAGTTTAGATTGAGTTTCAAAAGTTGTACTCCCTCCGTCCCATAATTATTGTCCAGTTTTACTAAAATGAAAGATTTTATTTTTTTATCAAACTTAACTATATTTTACCTTAAACAACCGGATATACCCCTACATAAGTAATTGTTTAACCACTAAGATTTTATGGATAATATTTTTTACTAAAGACAAATGTATAACTTGATCCATAAAAAGTCAAATTGGACAATAATTTTGGGACAAAATTTTTTGGGCAAAGTGGACAATAATTATGGGACGGAGGGAGTACTAATTTTATTATAAATTTTAAATTTCTAATGCGGATTATTTTGTTCGGAGACAAAGAGAGTAATAAATAAAAGAAACCCTATTAGAGTTAGAGTTGTAACCTTGTAATTACAGTGCATAGTTACGCTTTTACCGTCTTGTGCTATACGTATACATAACATGTATAAACTCTAATACACGTTCGGTCTTACGGCTTCATCTTCATGCCGGCCGACTTCTTTCTTCTTTGCATGGTATCAATCGCAGGCCTTTGATTTTCTCCTGGGACGTAGTCAATTTTTTTTGTGTTTGTTCCCACTGCGTTCCTCCATTACTACGAGTTTTTTTGGCCGTTAGTTTGCTGCTGGTTTGTTCTTCGCTATGCTGCGAAGTAGTCGTTCAATTCTCCTGAACTTCGCTACTGCCAATCTTTTCCACTTGGTTTTCCTTCGGTGGCTCCATGTTGCTTCGCTGCTACACTCTCCGGCAGTGCATCATCATCTGCCTTACTCATCATCATTGCCATCATCATTGGTTCTTTGTTCTTCTTCAATCGGCAAGGCGTATTCGACTTGTTGTTACTGCTGCCGGTTGTAGCAACGTTCCTACTGCAAGTTTTTCTTCGATTGTGCACTGCTGGTTGTCTTCTTTCTGCTGGTTCTCTTTGTCGTCTTCAAGCTGCAAATCAGACAGTATATTCCTCCTGGTTTGTCCTCTTCTTTGATCAACCCACAGCTGCTCTCCGGTGTGTTGATCTCTTGCGGCGTTCTTCGGCGGTCATCTTCTTCTTTCAATTATGTCCGACGTTACCGAGTGTTTTCAGTTGATCAGATACCCTGAGAATTGGCAGTCTTCTCGTGTGAATTCTGGCGGAGGACATGTATGCGGACGCGACCGTGGTTCTGGCCGCGAGTCTTCTACTCTTTCTGGTTCTACTTCTAGCTCGGTCGGACCGGTTGTTGGCTCCCTTGGCTCAGTTCCAGGTGCGGCTGTTCATAGTGCGGTTCAACTGGCTTCCGGGTTCGGTTCTATTGCTCCACCCGCGGCAGTTACTGGTCTGAATCAAGACCAATGGCGTACTTTGCTCAATTTGTTGAGATCGGCGAAATTAGGCCCAACTGATAAGCTGTCTGGTAAACCTTTTTCTGACAGGTGGATGTATGATTTCGCTACCACTCGTCATATGACAGGTTCTCTTGTTTATTTTTGCGATGTTCGCGATATTGTCGTTGTTCCAGTTCATTTTCCCAATGGTCGTTGTGTTTTTGTCACTAAGTCTAGCTCTGTCATTCTTAGCAGATCCTTAACTTTGCACAATGTGCTCTATGTGCCCGAATTACAGTGTCACTTAATTTCTGCCTCACAATTGCTGCGTGATTCCTCTTATATTGCTCACTTTACCCGTGATTTTTGTATTGTACAGAACATAAGTTCGAGGACTCTGATTGGAGCGGGTGAGCAGTGTAAGGGGCTTTACTTCTTTCGGGCTGTCGAACTTGCTGCTGCGGTGCCTCATGGGCTCTCTTCCTTTGATTTGTGGCATCAGCGGTTAGGTCATCCATCTCCGAAGGTTTTAGAAATGCTTTCACATGTTGGTTCTAGAAGCACTAGTAGTCATCTGAATAAAGCTTGTGATGTTTGTTTGTTTCCGGGCAAAATAGACTCGTGATACTTTTCCGCTTAGTATTACTCAAACTCACGATATTTTTCAATTAATACATTGTGATTTATGGGGGCCCTATCGGACTCCTTCTTTTTCTGGAGCACGTTATTTTTTAACTATTGTTGATGAATACTCTCGCGTTGTTTAGATATATTTGTTGATTGATAAGACTGAGGTGTCTGTGACTTTACAAAATTTGTTTGCTATGGTTAAGCGCCAATATGGCAAGTTGGTCAAAATTGTCCGTAGTGATAATGGAACTAAATTCATGTGTCTATATTCTTACTTTCGTCAGCATGGTATTTTGCATGAGATATCTTGTGTTAGTACTTCTCAGCAGAATGGTCAGGTTGAACGCAAGCATCGGCACATTCTTAATGTTGCTCGCGCCTTGCGTTTTCAAGCTCATTTACCTATTGAATTATGGGGAAGTGTATTTTAGCAGCCGGATATCTGATTAATCGAACTCCTTCGAGTATTTTACATGGCAAGACTCCCTGTGAATTGTTATATGACAAACCCACTTCGATCTCTCATCTGTGTCTTTTTGGTTGTTTGTGCTACGTACACAACTAAGATCAGAAAGGGATAAGTTTGCTTGTCGTAGTCGGAAGTGCGTCTTTGTTGGCTATTCGTTTGGGACAAAAGGTTGGTGAGTGTATGATTTAGAGTCCGGGACTTTCCTTGTTTCCCGTGACGTTGTTTTCTCTGAGTCTGAATTTCCTTACATGTCTCCGCCTTCATCTGATGAGTCTATTCCTTTATTTCCTCCATCGACGCCTGTTCCTGATGATGATGATGATTTTATTATTCCCTCGGTACCACCTGCCACTTCTTCTCAAGGGACTGTTGTTCCTTCTGTTGATGGTACCTCCAACGACAGGGGGGGTTCACAGCCTGTTGGGCCATCGGAAGAACTACTGGGCCGTAGTCATCGCACCAAGTTTCGCTCCACTCGCCTTCGTGACTTTGTTGTGCACACTATTACTTCTGACAACCCTTCTCTCTGCTCATCTGTTTCGTCGATTTCCTCAAGTACGTCCTATCCTTTACACAAATATGTCAACTGTGACAATTTTTCTTTGCCCCATTGTGCTTTTCTGGCTGCTGTAGCTGCAGATGTGGAGCCTCGCAACTTTGTGGAGGCTATGCGCGATTTTCGCTGGCGTACTACTATGCAACAGGAGATTCAGGCTCTTGAAAATAATGATACCTGGATTTTATCTTCTCTTCCCTCTGGGAAATGTGGTATCGGCTGCAAATGGATTTTTAAAATTAAATACTATTCTGATGGTTCGGTTGAGCGTTATAAGGTGCGTCTTGTGATTCTGGGTAACAATCAGATTAATGGCCTTGATTATAATGAGACCTTTGCTCCCGTCGCCAAAATGGTGATGGTTCGCACCTTTCTTGCCGTGGCTGCTACTAAGTACTGGGAGCTTCATCAGATGGATGTTCACAATATTTTTCTACATGGGCATCTCACCGAGGAGGTGTACATGAAGTTACCGTCTGGTTCTTCGACTTCTCAACCGGTGTGGTATGTCATCTCCGATGTTTCCAATATGGCTTACGACAGGCTCCTCGAGGTTGGTTTGCCAAGTTGGCAAGTGCTCTTCATTGATATAGTTTTCAGCAGTCTACTTTTGAATATTCTTTGTCCACCTTGACGCATGTTGCCGTGCAAATCAATGTTCTCATTTGTGTTGATGATTTAATTCTTTCTGGGAACGATACTGCTGCTCTTCAGTCTTTCAAGGAGTATCTGCATCGGTGCTTTCATATGAAGGATTTTAGGGTCCTTAAGTATTTTCTTGGTCTTGAGGTGTCTCGTTCTTTTTCTGGTATTTTTCTTTGTCAGCGCAAGTATGCTCTGGACATCATTTCCGAGGTGGGGTTGTTGGGCGCTAGGCCAGCTGACTTTCCTCTTGAGCAGAATCATCATCTCTCTTTAGCTGTTAATGCTCTGTTTTCTGATCCTGCTCAATATCGTCGCCTACTTAATCGCCTGATTTATCTTGTTGTTACGCACCCTAAGTTGTCTTATTCTGTCCACATCTTATCTTAGTTTATGCATAAGCCGACGCAGGCTCATTGGGAGGCTGAGCTTCGTATTGTTCGTTATTTGAAGGGCACTCCAGGTCAGGGTATTTTTCTTCTGGCTCATTGTGATTTGCAACTTTCGGCCTGGTGTGATTCCTACTGGGTCAGTTGTCCCTTGACATGGTGTTCTCTTACCGGTTGGTTTATTCAGCTTGGTACTTCCCTTATCTCTTGGAAGACTAAGAAACAGTAGACGGTCGCACGCTCCCTCGTCGAAGCTGAGTATCGTTCTATGGCCTTTACTGTTTGTGAGTTGAAATGGTTGAAGACGCTTATTCTGTCTCTTGGTATTCGTCATTCCCAGCCTATTCGCTTATATTGTGACAGTCAGGCCGCTTTGCATATCGCGGCTAATCATGTTTTTCACGAGCAGACGAAATATATTGAGGTCGATTGCCACTTCGTCCGCAATGAAGTTCTCGCTGGCATTATTCTACCCAGTTATGTGTCTACTCACGTGCAACTTGTGGATATATTTACTAAGGCCTTAGGTAAACAACAGTTTGAGTTTTTCTTGTCCAAGTTGGGCATTCGAAATCCTCATGCTCCAACTTGAGGGGGTATTAGGGTTAGAGTTGTAACCTTGTAATTACGGTGTATATTACTCTTTTACCGTCTTGTACTATATATACACATAACATGTATAAATCCTAATACACGTTCGGTCTTACGGCTTCATCTTCTTAACCAACTGACGTCTTTCTTCTTTGCAAATTCGATAAATAAACCAAATAATAGTGAAACTGTTTAATTTTTTTGGGTATGATACGAATCTATTAATTGATCGCTGATCAGTTATTAAATTATGTAACACACAGTTCGAGGATGAAGTAACAACTCAAAATAGTGCAAATTGTCATAAAATTCCTTTTTTTAGTAATAATATTTGATGGGATTAATTTTTAGTTTTCTGAATGAGAAGATAAGATCTAAGTGATTGTATTTCTAAAGACGGTTGATTTCTCGACTAAGTACAACTATTGCATGTAACTTGACATAATTTCAGCCTTGGAGGACTAAAACCTTTGTATTTATGTTTTTTTTTTGTGACACAATAATATTTTCATTCTTTCCGTCTTAACATAAAGCAAAATATGATTGAATAGAGAAAAAAAAAATCCTTTTTTGGATGTGAAATATGACGCTGTTAGTTATTGGCCATGAAAAAGAAATAGGAAATTGATAGTAGTAATATTAGCTGCTGAACATCATCACTACAGTTTTTTGAGAATGGAAATGAGATTATGTACTCCTCAAATTAAAGTTTACTCCTTTTCTTTTTGGACTTATCCATTCATTACTACGTCTTTTCTTCATTTTTTAAATAAATTAATTACTTTTTTTCTAACCAAATGTGATTTTTTCTTTTCTTTTCTTATTGAAAATCACCATTCACCAATATGTTTATTCCTTAACAATTTTATAAGTGTACTTTAAACAGATGCCCACCCCAAGCCACCGGGAAACGCCAAAAATGGCGGATCTTCCCTTGTACGATGAATATACTAAATAGTAATACTTTTTATTTTAAAAATTATGCAGCAATAAATTATTTGATGGCCGTAATTGTAACTGCACATTGAAAACTGTGCCTAAATGCCCATGTTTGGAGAAAAGATCTTATTAATGTATGCAACGTTTTTTCAGTGAATGTTTTAGTTTTTTTCTTTTCCCCCTCCACCAAACTTGTTTCACAACTTAAGATCGTAAAAGTTGATAATAATAAAAAAAAAAAATCCCCCATAATTTAGGTTAAAAAGTTTCCCAACGAGGTTGGTGCGATCTTCTTAATTGACATTTAAGATACACACAATATTAGAAAATATGTTACAACTGAAAAACTAAGAATACTGTATGAAAAAAGTACCAAAAAATATATCCCTTTAAATGTAATTTTTTCTTCTCTGAATAATCATTAAAATTTATATTAAATTACTAAAAAAAGTTTCCTAAACAAGTTTTGCTTGTGGTAGCAGGGTATATCGGTCAGAACACCTGAAGTAATGACAAAGAAAAGAAAGAGAGTAATGAAGATAACGGTGAACCTTTTCCTCTTCTTTTACTTTTTCCTCCTCAATTAAATTAATTAATTAATTAAATAAATAAAAAAAGGCTCAAAATATAAAAAGTTTGTTTTGAGCTGAAGCCTACGCGGTTTATGAATTCTTACCAAAGACTTAGCGGCAGAACAGACCAAAGAGCTGCTTGGTTTGGACTCTTTCTTCTTTTTCTTCTTCTTCTTCATTTTTCCCGTCATAAATGCTCTGATAACATCTCTACTACTATTTTCCATTCGGTTCCTTTTTCCTATTCAATTCTCTCCTCTGTCTGGTTTATCACATTATTCATCTATCTACTTCCGTTTAATTAAACCCCCATCAAATCTGCTGAAACCCGGAATCTAGTGGCCGCCCTTTTGTTCTCCTGGATCGGTGTTTTTTGTTGCCGGATCGTATTTGCAGAACCCCTTTTAAGTAATTCTTCTATCTCATCTCTTCCTTTCTTTTAAGTAATTTTTTTTTTTTTTTTGGTGTATGTGTTGTTTGTTTTTTTTTTTTCTTTTTATTATTTGGTTAAGATCTTCTAGTGAAGATGAATTAGATGGTCTCAGAATCGAATTTTGAAGCTTTCTGCCGACACAATCTGTTTATCTGTTCGATTTTGTGATTCTTTAAGTTACATGTCACTAGTCAATAATCACACTTGCCATAAGAAAGTGATTTAGAAATGAATTAAAATTAATCTGTTGAGATTTACTGTTCATGGGATGCTTTGGATTTTGTAAAATGGTGAAAAATCCATTCTTTATCTCATCAGGATTGTGCATTTTACGATCCGTTCGCCGTAGTATCTTTTGAGCCTAACAGGGGTCTGTGTTGGATGAATTTACAGATTTATCCCAACAAAATTGATTCTTGCTGAAGCAGTGGTACCGACAGTTTTTGTGAAGTGCTTACAATGGCACCTAGTACAATCAGGAAGGCCATTGGGGCCGTGAAGGATCAGACTAGCATAAGTTTGGCTAAGGTGGCCAGCAACCTTGCTCCGGACCTTGAAGTCTTAATTGTCAAGGCAACATCTCATGATGATGAGCCGGCTGATGAGAAATATGTTAGGGAGATACTGAATTTGATGCAGTACTCCAGAGGTTATGTCAATGCGTCTGTTTATGCTATTTCAAAGAGGCTGAGTAAAACCCGCGATTGGATTGTTGCTTTGAAGGCCTTAATGCTTGTCCACAGGCTGTTGAATGATGGGGATGTGGTTTTTGCTCAAGAAATCACCTATGCTAGCCGAAAAGGGACCCGCGTTTTGAATATGTCAGACTTCCGTGACGAGGCACATTCCAATTCCTGGGATCACTCAGGGTTTGTGAGAACCTACGCCCTGTATTTGGATCAGAAACTTGAGTTTCTGGTGTATGAGAGGAAATTGAATGGCGGCGAGGAGAAGAGGAGGTATGATGATGGCTATGGAGAGTTTCGTGATGAACCTAATTATGGAATGCAAAGAAGGTCACGATCTTACGATGATTTCTATGGGGAATCACAGGGGCGAGGGGGGGATTCTCAAGGGCGAGCGGAGAACAGTGCTGTCACCCCAGTTAGGGAGATGAAGCCTGATAAGGTTCTGGAGAGATTGAACCAGTTGCTACGTCTTCTTGATCGATTTCTGGCATGCAAGCCAACTGGAGTTGCCAAGAATAGTAGGATGGTGCTTGTAGCGTTTTACCTTGTAGTGAGAGAGAGTTTTAGGCTCTATGCGGATATATGTGAGGTTTTGGGAGTTGTGCTGGATCAATTTAGTGACATGGAATATGCTGATTGTGTTAAAGCTTTTGATGCATATGTTAATGCAGCAAAGATGATTGACGAGGTTGTGGCTGTTTATAATTGGTCCAAAGATACAGGGGTGGCAAGGTCGTCAGAGTACCCAGAAGTACAGAGGATCACCGATAAGCTTCTGGGGTCACTTGAGGAATCTCTAAGGGACAAGGCAAATCGACCAAAAGCAGTAGAGAAAAGCAAAGAGGAGAGTTCATCAGAGGTAAAAGAGGAGGAAATACCAGATATGAATGAAATCAAAGCGCTACCTCCACCTGAAAACTACACACCACCTCCACCCCCACCACCACAGCCTCAAACCCCGCCCCAGCCTAAGCCTCAAACTCAGAAGGTTACAGAGGACTTGGTAAATCTGAGAGATGAAGGTGTCTCGGCCGATGAGCAGGGAAACAAATTGGCACTGGCACTGTTTTCTGGGGCTCCTACGGTGAAAACTGATGGCTCATGGGAAGCATTTCCATCAGAGGGTGATTCAGGGATAACTTCAGCATGGCAAACACCAGCAGCTGAAACCGGTGCTGCAAACTGGGAATTAGCTCTGGCCGAAACTGCCAGTAATCTGTCGAAACAAAAGGCTGATTTAGCTGGTGGTTTTGACTCACTGTTATTGAACGGTATGTATGATCAAGGGGCTGTGAGGCAGCATGTAAGCACTAATCAGTTGAGTGGTGGGAGTGCTAGCAGTGTGGCGTTACCCGGCATGGGCAAAGGTGCGACACCAGTTTTAGCGTTGCCTGCCCCTGATGGAACGGTTGTTCCAGTGGGGAACCAGGATCCCTTTGCAGCATCTCTATATGTTCCACCGCCCTCATATGTTCAGATAGCTGATATGGAGAAGAAACAGCAATTGCTTACACAGGAGCAGCAGATCTGGCAGCAGTACGCCAACAATGGAATGCAAGGCCAGGTTGGTTTGACCAAGATTGCAGCTGGCACTGCGGGTTATTATGGAGGGGGTATGCAACCTATGATGCCATATGGAATGCCTCAGGCCAACGGCATGGGACAGCCAGGTGGATATTACTATACTCCTCTTTGAATATGAGAACGAATCACTCCTGAAAAACCAATTAAGAGATATTTTTGAACTGGAACTTCCTTACCATCTGTAACCTTGTAAGCCTAATATGTTGAGAGCGGGCATATTTCCTAGTTTAGTAAACTATATGAGTGAGGGCGTTATGTCCTTGTATACAGGATGTTTTGCAAGGATCTGTAATACAAATTCGCCAGAATGGATATAAATTGCAGCTTATATCTGGCTGCATACTCATTTTTTACATGGGTATGGTTCATTCCAGTATATTACAGTTAAACGTAGAGGGAAGAGAGCGAATGTTGCCTCTTAAAATTTGATATAGTTTTCATTGTCCTTGGCCCTTGGGTCCTTGCCCCTTGGGTCGTTATCTGCATCAAGCTCAATAACTCAGGTATTAAGGTAGTGAAAACGTGCTTGCCTCTTGATTAGTAACTGTCTAGCGGGATCTCTTGCATACCACTACCAATTGAATTTTTACATCTATCCCTCACGTTTATTATGTGTTTCCAAACGAGTAATTTCGGTAAAAATAACAAGGCGCTCGGGAAGAAGTAAGGACTAATAAGAAAAATAACCCCTAAAAGAAAATAAATACGTGATAAAGACTATTTTTTTTTTTTCTCAAGACACGTTCGATTGCTCTATATTATTACTAACTACATCATTTTCACAATCGCATAAAAATTATCTATAGTATTATAGAGAGAGAGAAAACAGAGAGAGAAAACAAAAAAGAATTCTAAAGGACATTTAAATTATACTAATAGTCCTTCAAATTTTATGTAAATAAAGTTTTATCAAATGACATTTAAAACTATAGTTTAAAATAGTAAAATAAAAATTAATTTAAATTTAATGGACGGGATTAATGAACATTAATGCACCAGAATTATTCCCTCCCAAAAATAATCCCCAATTAGTATTAATTGATTGATTTAAATTATAAGTTCAAAGGGATAAGGCATTTATTATTTTCAACATTAATTCACCGGATTTTTTACACCAGCCAATTCGAATAAAAAAAAAAATCCCTCTACAAAATAATCCCTAAATAACCACAACTTTTGCTAATCTATCTATAGTCTATAGTATTATACTAAGAGAGAAACCAGAGAGAGAAAACAAAAAAGAATTCTAAAAGTACCACATAAGATAAAATCCTATGTGTCATTTTTCGAATGGTTGAGTCAAAAAATATTTACAACAATTATACTAATAGTCCTTCAAATTTTATGTAAATAAAGTTTTATCAAATGACATTTAAAACTATAGTTTAAAATAGGAAAATAAAAATTAATTAAATTTAATGGACGAGATTAATGAACATTAATGCACTAGAATTATTCCCTCCCTAAAAGAATCCCCAAAGTTACTACTGGACTCATTTAATTAATCTCTCTCAAAAAAAAAAAATCCCCCTCCCAATCATGTAAAGCAATAGACTACAATTCAAAAAAAAAAAAAACAATCATTCAACACTAATGTTATCTTTAAAATCTTCTTCCAAAAAACATGACCCTGTATTTTTTGCCAATAAAAAAAGAAAAAAAGGTATAAAACTTGCCTTCAATTATTACTAAAAGGATGTGATTTAACTATAATTAAATGTTATCTTTTGAATTTCAAACCAATGCATTTATTTGTGTAATATCATATTTACCCAAATAAATATAATCTTTCCTTAATAATATCTAAAAAATTGTTATAAACTTTATCTTTATCACTGAAATTTTGGATAATCAATTATCATCAATCCCAATTTATCTCTATTTATTTCCACTTTTGGATAGTAAAATTTTGGATAGTAAAATATACTCCAAAACACCTACATTACTGATGGATTATAAATAAAAATAGTAAAATTCATTTTACACTTTTTATATTTTTTTTTGATTTTTTATAATGTAAATAAATAAATCCCGCGCATCGCGCGGGTTTAACATCTAGTATTATACTAAGAGAGAAACCAGAGAGAGAAAACAAAAAAGAATTCTAAAGGTGCCACATAGGATAAAATCCTATGTGTCATTTTTCTATTGGTTGAATCAAAAAATATATACAACAATTATACTAATAGTCCTTCAAATTTTATGTAAATAAAGTTTTATCAAATGGCATTTAAAACTATAGTTTAAAATCTATAGTATTATACTAAGAGAGAAACCAGAGAGAGAAAACAAAAAAGAATTCTAAAGGTGCCACATAGAATAAAATCTTATGTGTCATTTTTCTATTGGTTGAGTCAAAAAATATTTACAACAATTATACTAATAGTCCTTCAAATTTTATGTAAATAAAGTTTTATCAAATGACATTTAAAACTATAGTTTAAAATAGGAAAATAAAAATTAATTAAATTTAATGGACGGGATTAATGAACATTAATGCACCAGAATTATTCCCTCCAAAAAATAATCCCTCTCAAAAATAATTCCCAATTAGTATTAATTGATTGATTTAAATTATAAGTTCAAAGGGATAAGGCATTTATTATTTTCAACATTAATTCACCGTGATTACCCCAGACAATTCGAATAAAAAAAAAATCCCTCTACAAAATAATCCTTAAATACCCACAACTTTTGCTAATCTATCTATAGTATTATACTAAGAGAGAAACCAGAGAGAAAAAATAAAAAAGAATTCTAAAGGTGCCACATAGGATAAAATCCTATATGTCATTTTTTTATTGGTTGAGTCAAAAAATATTTACAACAATTATACTAATAGTCCTTTAAATTTTATGTAAATAAATTTTTATCAAATGGCATTTAAAACTATAGTTTAAAATAGGAAAATAAAAATCTATAGTATATTAAGAGAGAAAACAAAAAAGAATTCTAAAGGTGCCACATAGGATAAAATCCTATGTGTCATCTTTTATTGGTTGAGTAAAAAAAAATTTACAACAATTATACTAATAGTCCTTCAAATTTTATGTAAATAAAGTTTTATCAAATGGCATTTAAAACCATAGTTTAAAATAGGAAAATAAAAATTAATTAAATTTAATGAACGGGATTAACGACCATTAATACACTAGAATTATTCCCTCCCAAAAATAATCCCTCCCAAAAATAATCCCCAATTAGTATTAATTGATTGATTTAAATTATAAGTTCAAAGGGATAAAGTATTTATTATTTTCTACATTAATTCACCGGGATTTTTACCCCAGCCAATTCGAATTAAAAAAAAATCCTTTTACAAAATAATCCCTAAAATCACTACTTGATTGATTTAAAACCTAAGTTCAACGTGCGGGAAAATGGGAATTCTTTAGTGATTAAAAACTAATCAAATTTAATTGAAAAAGACTAATCAACATTAATGTAATGGAAGTCATTTCCCCACCAATCTTATCCCTTAATCAACGTGATGTTATCATCTTTATTTCATAGTTATGCATTTTACTTTAATTACTGGTTATGATATCTCATTCAGACATTCACTATAAATATCCACTTCGGTCTAACTCTAACATGTACAATAACAACCGGTGAAACACTGAAGCGAAAGCATCTTATATACTTTACAAAACATCTTTGCGGCGGCGACCTCACTCCGATCATGTTTTATTTAATATTTAAGGTGTCTCTTTCTCTAATTGTGTGCAATCTTGATTAACATGCATTTTTAACCGTGTAGACATAAATTGCTTTGATTTATATGACATGTAACATCTGATTTATTATTTTGGTGGTCTTTTTTACTTTTATTTGTATATAATCCTTATATATATTCCATTATTTAATTACATTTTTGGCATACAATTTATAAAATGTTGTCATTTCAAAGTATATATAACAATTTTATTTATCACGATCTAATTTAATTTTAATCATATATTTATTATTACAAACTAGTTACTTTATTTGTATTAATCACATTTAAAATTTAAAAATATATTTCAATTGAGAATAATTATAACAGTAGTATTCATATTTTGAAAAAAAAAAAAACAAAATACTCCATCTATCACAAATTATTGTCCAATTTGAATTTTCACTTTTAGTTCAATTTGTATTAAAATTTGAAAATCCAAACTAAACAATAATTTCTGGACAAAGGCTAACTATTACCTATCCCATCTTTTACTTGGGGGTGTACGCTAACCTGGTCTACCGCCCAGTCAGTCCCCCCGGCATTCAAACGACGCCACCCACCGCCACGGGTTACCGGATCTGCCTCCAATAACCACCGTCGTCTCCGCCAGATTTGATTGATTCTGCAAAGTTGTCGGCACAGCCTCTCTGTAGATCTCGGAGCCTCTGTCGATGTGTATTCGATTTTGGAATCTGGTAATATCTATTTGAAGTAGTATATTTTAGGCCTCTGTGTGTGTATCTTCTGCTCAAATAATCTGTCTTTTAAATTAATCGGTGGTACGTATGGAGAATATTTATTTCCCCGAAGAAATTCTGGCGAAGATCCTACTGAACCTGCCGGCCAAATCGTTGGCGAGATTTAGCTGTGTCTCGAAATCATGGCGTGATTTGATCCGAGGGGACCCTTCTTTTGGGCTCAAGCATCTCAACCACTATTTCAGCAAAAACAACCACCACCATGAAAACGGTGCCGTCTTCCTCGTTCGACACTTAGGAAGCTTCAGCTTTTCCTCCAATGGATCTTCTTCCTCCAATAGATACCATCAACTGTTGCTGACGGACGACTGCAACGGAGGTAAAAATATTTCTCTCCGTGTTTTTCCGTCCCCTGCTCTAGATTTCCCTTATCATTTGTATGGATCTTGCAATGGAATTCTTTGTATCGCGAAGTCATCATCCATTTTTAGCCCTGTCTATTTGTATAATCCGACAATTAAGGAATACTTGAAACTTCTCGATTCGAATTGTTTGGAAAATTCTCCTTTCAAGGGATTCTGGAATAAGAGTGTGCTGGGTTTTGGTTTTGATGTCTTAAGTGATGATTATAAGGTCATCAGGATAGGCAGGATGGGTGATCATACATTAGAGTTTGTGTATGTTGAAATCTATAAACTCAGTACAGATTGTTGGACCAAGCTTGAGTTGGAATTGGAAGGTGTGGAACTGTTTGGCTACTCTTATACGCTTGATCCTGAATATTGGAACAGCAAATTGATCAACAGCCTTGTTCCTGCTGGAGGAGTATTTGTGAATGACTGTTGCTATTGGTCCGGAGAATTTTTGGTAAGAAGTGTGGTTCTGGAGTTTAACTTCCGCTCTGAGATTTTTAGACTGATTTCACACCCGCATTCGCGACCAAACCCGTCGTTTATAACTGTGACGCCATCGGTCTTGGGTGATTCCCTTGCATTGATTGTTGAGTGTATGCATGGATTATTTGAAGTCTGGGTGATGGGAGTGCAGCAAGAAGAAGAAGATGGGGAAGAAGACTCCTTATGGTCCAAGAAATGTTCCCTAAGAGTTGGACCTGAACTCTATCATCCTAGCATATTGACATGTTGGAACCACAATTGGTTACTACTAAGGTCTTTTTGTGGTAGACATATAAGATGTTGCTTTCTCGGAGATGGCTTTACTGCAAACAAGGACTGGGAGTTTGATGTTGCTTGCGATGATGCTTTGAGTGCTGTCGTCTTTCAACCAACTCTAGTTTCCCTTCAAGAGAAAAAAAAACTCGGAGGGTTAACGCGTAGTAGCTTATTTAACTTAGAAACTGAAAAAAGAAAACCAAAAAAGAGGGGAAGGAAGCCAAAGTTGCTTTGCACCTGGTAAGCATCCTCCAACTTGTGGGAATTTTGGCCTCCCTGTGTCAGAGAGTTTGTGCTCTTTTTATCATGAATTTTATAGAGCTAGTTTTCTAAGATGTAGCCTCAAATCTAGCTTAAAAATTCACGGCCTGCCAGACAAGAAACTATGATATGAGGTGTTACAGGAGGGTTATCCAGATGCTCACTTTCAAGGAAGAGAGATGGTCTTATGACCCAATGCAGTCGGCTTCCTTCACTGCACTTCAAGCTGGAAGATCTTCTGGCCTTTGCTTGGGGCGATTATGAGTCAGAAATTCTACTGCACCATATATTTGCATCTCACTCCCTAAACTAAAGTTGCATTGTAGCATTAGAAAATTGGCGACAAAGATGAACTGGGGATATAAGTATAACTTCTCCATAAAGTGAAAATGTACTTATCTAGTAAACATTCAGAAACTTGGCCAAGTATCCTTGAGATCCCTTTTGACATGCTTGTTAAAAAAAGCCTAGGAATTTGAAGATTCATGTGTTTCCAGTCCAGCAATGGATAGCCAACGGCGTGATACCGTTCTGTTCTTTCGTGATAACTAAGAATTATCTCAATAAAGTTGTAAATCCTACACCTCCGAAGCTTCCATATTAAATCGAATTATCTGATATAAAGTGCCAGTTTCAAAGACCGCGTCATCGCTAAGCGTTACTTTGAAGCATTCTAGGCTAAATGTTTTGGCCAGGATTCACCCACTACATCACCTTGACATAATCGGATCAGTTTGTAACTTTTGCCTGAATATGGTTTGCTAGAAGGAAATGCATGGCCACCAGAAACAACAGAATCCAAAATAGCCTCATGTAAACCAGCAAACTTTTTTGAAAAAACAGCAAGCATAATCAAGAAAAACAAATAGCCATTATATTTTTGGGTTAATATCAAAAACACTCTCAAGGTTTAATCCTTATATTTAAATAAAAGGCACAATAGGCAAGAAATAATACTCAAAAAATATTCAAGGACCACCGTCAAATCGATCTCAGCCATCGGATGGGGTAAATATGACGTCAGCGACTTATTAGAGTTAAACTCGGAATTTCATAAATTTAGCATATCCCAATAAAAAAAAATCCCATAAGCCTTTGAGGGGAAAAACCCCAAAACAAGAAAACGACGTCATCCCTTCTCCATACGATTTTTTCCCAAAAAAACAGAAAACGTAATCATCACCACCAACACTTCCTCATTAATCAACCTCCTCCACCGTCCTCACCGATTATTAATTAGGAAATTTCCCATGCTATGTCCTATTCCCCCTACAACTATAATTCATATGCCCTTAGAACTACGAAATCTGTTTTTCCTAATAATTACAATGTTTACATTGGATTGTATCCGTTTTTCTCAATTCGGGATTGTTCTCTTTGCCGTTCGGTGGAGGAGATACAATCTGAAGGCTTAGTGTTGCCTTTTTCAATCCTACTCGCTTTTAATCTGATATTTTCACTGTCCTCATTTTGTGGAAATGTATAATCCTAATTTTGAGCCAATGAAGTATTTGGATGAAGCTTTAACTTCAAAATTTAGGACTCCGCTTGGATAACATGTTTCTTTGGTTCATGAATTTGGCTAGTTTAGGAGTTTCAAATTAGGCACATATCAAATATGAGTCCTATTAGATGTTCTCCAAACTGGTTGATAAAGCGTGCGGCATTAGTATTAACATTCTATGTCTGCAACTTTAAAGCATAGCTGTAAAAAGCATCATGGAGTACTATGAAATGTCTTTTTAAACTACTTTGTGAAGTTGAAAAAAACATTTTAAATTTATCTTGATTCACTTGATTTACAGTGTATTTGATCTTGTGTATTAGGCTACATAGGCTCCCTTTTTAATACTTTGATGACTGAATTTGCTTCACTACAGCTTGAGAGTAATTTCTAGAATAGAAAGGCTAAACTTGAATATTCATTTGTTATGTAGCAGTGCTATTGTGGGAAAATGTTAATATTTTTTTTTTAAATAAATAGGAAGGTTGGAAAGAAGTTCGGGTTCTAAGTGACTTAAAAAACACTCAAGGGGTCTACCCAAAAGATGAATTTTTAAGACTGTTATAGCCAAATGATATGAAGCACCCAAGGGGTATACCCAAGGGATGGACATACATATCATTTAGTTCTAGCTTCCTTCCTCCCTTATTTTATTAAATATCAACAAGAAACTTGGCAGTGCATAAGACTTACCAGTATACAAAAAGCTATTTGTATCGCGACCGGATATATGGAAAGGCAACCTGATCTAGATGTACAAGTCCCCTAACATGTCTAGGTAGACTACTCATAGTATTGCATCTGGTTGATATTCCAAGAGAAGCTTCACCTGCTACTCCATCTGCCACTGAATTTGCCTCTCTAAAAATATGTTGAACGGTATAGGCCCGCATCTCCATAATGTGACAAATTTCCATCAAGTGAAAAGAATGCTTCCATGGAACATTCTTCATAGACAGTAAAAGGCTAGCCAAACCTTTATTGTCTGTTTGAATATCCACCTTCTCTTAGCCAAGCTGACAACACTTCCTTACCCCAAACAGGACTCCAAAACCTCCGCATCAAAGCTATCACCTCTTCCTAAGTAACCAGTTTCACCATATACAAAGCTACCATTCCTTTTCCTGATGCAAAAGCCATATCCAGAATCCGAATTAATAAGTGAGCCGTCAGTGTTAAGAACATAATCACTACCCTTTGAAACCTTCCACCTAACAGCCATACAAGTTCTCATCCGTACCTTTTGAAGCTGAAAGCCAAAATTATTTTGAATCCAATTCCTCTCTTCTACATTCCGCGCCTTCAAATCATGAGTCATTAAAACATTCCTTATGTCTACCTTAGTTGCCAAAATAACCTTCTCCCTATTTAATTTCTCTCTTTCAAAAAGCATTTTATTCCTCATTTTCTAAATCTCCCAAAGAATTAATGACGGAATAATCTTGATAAGAGCTTTCAAAGCTGAAGAGAAACTACCACGATTCCACCACTTAGATAAAACCACAAGCAAGTTAACTTCCTCCACGGCATGCCAAACAAATGAGAAAACAATTTCCAAATTTCCTTGACCTCCAAACATTCAAAAAGACAATGCACCATTGAGTCACTTCTGACCTTACAAAAAAGACACATAGATAGCAAAACTTGTATTCCAAACTTACTCAAGATTTCTGGAAATGGCACAAGCGAATTCCGCAACTTCCACATAAAAAAGGAGATTCGCAAAGGAATCAATTTATGCCAATAGTTCTTAGAGAAGTTATCCTCCAATCCTCTCTTCCTTGGGCTCAAATAGGCAGCTTTAATGGTGAAAGATCCGGAAGAAGAATGCTGCCATATTAACAAGTCGCAGCCTGGTACAAGTGTTTTATCAGAATGCTCCAAAGTTCGCAACAGGCCCAAGGGTAACAAGTCCTGCAATTCATGCAAATATAAAGATTTGTTATTTATGAAATCTTTAATGGTCAAGCATTCTAACACAACTTTCCTCTTAAGAATTTGAGGGCTCTAAAGAAAATGGCTTCTTTGGTGGAGTGAGACTGATTTCCTCTTAACTTCAATTGGGAAGATTTTGCCATCACTGAAAAGCTCATCAGCAGGAGTTAAAAGAATGGTTGCGTTCAAATTTGGATGATGATTGGAACTGGAGAATTAAGTTTGGGACAACATGCTGGTCAATTTGGAATTGATGCAATGATCGAGTGTTCAATGGTAGTAGCTTCATAACAGAAAAGGCGGTGAGAATTGCTTCATAACGTACGGATGAAATCGGAAGGAACAAAACCATTCTCATGTGGAAAAAGGAGGGAGGGAAGCAAAAGGAGTGTCCCAACTGCAAAAAACCACCGACGGTTTGGGTCAATGCTTATTGCGATGGTGCGGTATATAATTTTTCACAAAAGGCAGCTGCAGGAGTTATCATGGAAAATGACCAAGGAAGATTTTTGAGTGCTGCTTGTATGCCATTAGGGACATGTTCAATTGAAACTGCAGAAATCAAGGCCATTCTGTTGGCTATGAAAACTCTAAAAATCAGTGATTCCTACGGTTGCTGGTGGAAGCCGATTCGAGTGTGGCTATAGAGCTATTCCAGAAAAATGAAACAAAGCTCTATAGTTTCCCTGGATCTAGACCTTAGGCATATCCACGAACTTTTGTCTTTCAATTAGGAAGTTCGCTTCGAACACACTTCTCGAGCTAGCAACCTCTATGCGGATACGCTAACGAAATCGACATTAGATATAAATAGACTGTTTGTTTGGGATATATATTTCATGTGTAAAAAAGCTATAGCCAGAGTCTTTCCATATCAATACCGAAGATATTGTTTGATATCAGGTTTCACACCACAGAAGAAACTACTGAATACCATCGATAGAGTTAAAATAGTGGTGTCGGAGGAATTAAAAAAATGAAGAGGACTCCTGCTGCAGAGAAGGGAAATGAAATTGATGTCAATGCACTGATGCAAATACATTTGCGGAGTCTAAATCAATCAAGGTTAAGGGAACTACTTCACCCTAGCTAATTATTTTGGTACAAATATAAATCAACATACGTATAATATAGACTACATAATCACAAAAGTATTTTGATTTTGTTTCACAATTGTCAAGTATTAAATTGTTAGTTACATGATCATTCATTTGTCATATCACATGATAAAGTACAAATAAATATAGAATAAAATATCAACGACACCAAAATCAAAATTGTAACCCAAAACAAAACCAAAATTATTGTATTTGATTTTGATCATTTTTACAACACCAAAATCAAAATTTAAAACAAACTTTTACGAAAATTAAAATTAATATCACAAATTATAAATAGAATGTCCATACACACAATTTTATCATGTTTGCCTAATGGAAGAGTTTTCAAACATGATGTGTCTATTCCATTGGAATTTTACTCACACAATGATCTATTTCATTTGTAATCGAATGATTTCATTTTTTCTTTTTGGAAGTCCATTAAGTAAAAAGTTTCATATATGTATGCATTTCCTTAGTCAAACATTTTAAGATTTTCCAAACATTCTATTTAATTTAAATTTACCGTAACTTATCACTTTTAATAACGAGAATGGTATAAAATGATTCAATAAAAACACTGGTCGCGCAACGCGCGACAGGTAAAAGACTAGTTAATTAGCTAAAACATTATTATTATTTAAAAAATATCAAAAAATATCTTCTAATCGCCAAGTCAATTATCAAAAGGTTACCTTGACGACTGATTGATGTATGCATATGAAGTTTTTTTTAAAAAAAAAACCAAAAAAGCTATTTATATACCCAAGAAATCCTGAGTAAATTTTTTCCCAACTTATGATAATTTCAAATATCCATTTGGAAATTCCAAAAGTTACTTTTCACGAGCCCCCAAATCTGAATTTTGTATTTTGAAGTAGAATTTGATTTTATTAGCATTTGAAAAATCTTCAAGAGTGTTTCTATGGGGTACAAATGTCTTTTTGATTCCCCCCCTCCTTTTTGTTGATTCATTTGCATATATCAATTTCCAGTCAGAGGAGGACCTTTTTGATAATTAACTTAGACGATTTGGGGATGCTTTTGATGTTTTTGAACTAGTAAGAGTATTTTACAAAATCAGATAAACCTAAGGAGTGTTTTTTATACCAACCCCATTTTTCTATTCGAAAAAGAAAAGAAGGTAAAGAATGGCTTTTCCCGCCAGCCACCACCACTGCCAACTCCAGATCATTCTCCTCCTCCTATTATTACCATCACAAAAGTCACAAAAATAGCACCATCCCATAATCACCCTTCGTTCCTTTTTACATACCAGGAAAAATCCGCCTTCATTGTCTCTTTCTGTTTTCAAAATCCAAGTTCCAATCCTCCAAAACCAAATACTTACCCTACTTTCGTAATCAATCATTTGAAACCTTCGACTCAATTCAGCAAAAAGAAGATGATCTAAATAGCTCAGTTGATGGCCAGATGACAATATTACGTCTCCTTCTATAACCATTCCCAAATAAATCAGATTCAGGAAATCAACAAAAAAGATATCATCTCATGGGTTTTAAGACTTGCCAGCAGTATATTCAACATCAATTTGACAACATATTGAAACCAGACCAAACCTGCAACAAGGTTCTCTAATTTTAATTGAAACTTATAACTAGTAATCAATACATCACAGGAGATTCAGTTTGCAAAATTTTCAAAAGTAGCCTGTTGATGTAATATAGCTCATTCATGCACAATTCAGGTAAGAGTACCACAATTCAGACAAGATGCGGATAGGGAGAATGGGGAAGAAGGTACAGTTTTAGTATTTCGCCTCTAATATTAGTCCTCAAACTAGTAGTGGGGGTAGTCAGGATCAACAAGGCGTTTCGAAGTCAACATCTCATTCTTTCCACATGCAAAATACATATCCACCACAACAGCACGATCGAATCCTCCAGTTTCAAGCTGGGAAGAGACAGTAAACAACATGTTAATGAAGCCAAAAACACCTCTAGCGAAAATAAAAATTAAAAAAATAACACTACCAATGGTCATTGCATTAAAAAACTCACACGTCCAATGGCTTCCTGTTCCTCAGAGGTTAGTGCTTCAACAAAGTCATCAAGTGCGTTGTTCCTGATACTGAAATTGAGCATAAATAGAATAATAAAATCAGCAGCTCTACTGACAATTATCAGTAACTACAACCAAATATTCTAGTCATCATATAAGAGAGAATACCCCTCTTTTTCTTCCAAATCCGGTCCTCCAGCCACATTGGCAATCCCCTGAAAAAAGAAAAGAGTCATATCTACTGTACCAACAATTGTGATAAAAATGACAACCCGCCGAATATTTAACCAGGGGAAAGAGACCTGATGATAATCATAAAATGCTCACACACACCTGTGACAAGATCGATCTCATCAAAGGCAATACTGCCCACACAAAACAAGAACAAGTAGATGGCCAACCAGAAAAACAAATCCCCAGAAAACATTTTCTTCATGGGCACTTCCCTTAAGCTCGAGCAAATATCATATAAACAAACAAGCAAATAAAATTAGAAACAAATCATTCAGAAAAAAGAAATGCAACAAACAGATAATATCCAAACGTAGGTATAACATTTCAAACTATAAAATAATTGCACGTACATAGGAATAATACCCCGACACTAGTAGAAAATTAGTCCCAGTTAGAGCTTATGCATCGGTGTCGGAGTCATATAGGCCACGGCATTATGAGCTAAGCCATACTCTAATAAATACCATAGAGACTTTCCATTATTTTCAAATTTTTACAATAAATAGCAAAAAACACTCACATGTACCATTGCTTCAGGTATTATGTTCCCAATATCACCCCCTTGCACCTGCACTCCAGCCGCATTGGCAACACCCTGAAAGAAAGAAAACAGTCATATCTACTATTCCAACAATCGCGATGAAAATGTCCAAGCTATTGAACATTTGAACTGGGAAAAGAGATCTAGTGATAACCACATAAGGCTTGCGACATCATTGACAAGATCGATCTCTACAAAGGTAATGCATGCCCACACAAAAATAAAAGAACTCACATGTCACAGCAGACAGGCCACAGCTTATGAATTAAGCCTTTTTCTAATAAATATCAAAAAGGCTTATATTATTTTCAAGTTTTTACACTAAATAGCAGAAACCACTCACATGTGCCATTGCTTCATGTACAATGTTCCCAATATCACCTTCTTGCACCTGGACTTCAGCTGCATCGGCCACTCCCTGAAAGCAAGAAAAGAGCCATATAAAAAATTCCAACAATTGCGATAAAAAAAACCAACCTATAGAAAATTTAACCAGTGAAAAGGGATCTAATGATAATCATACAAGGCTCACATCACCATTGACAAGATTGATGTCAACAAAGGTAATATATGCCCACACAAAAATAAAAATCAAGCAGATGGACAACCAGTCAACTAGAAGAACAATCCCCACACAGCATTTTCTCCATTTCTAGATCCCTTTGAACCTCAAGCAAAGATTTTAATAAACAAATAGAAAAAGAAACACTGCATTCAGGAAAAAGAAATGCCAATAAAATCCAAACATACAATGTTTTCAGAGTATAACATAATTGCAAGTTACATAATGATAATCCCCCAACGGCACTAAGAAAATTGGTCCCAGCAAGAGATTATACAATTTTATCGGTGCTATAAAGGCCAAAGCATGAAGAACTAAGTCATTCTCTAATAAAAATTAGAGGCACCTTCAATATTTTTACACTGAATGGTAAAAAGGAAAAACTCACAACTCTGATTGCTTGGGTCATTTTTTCAGAAAGCTCCATGTCCACCCTGATATGGTATTAAGCATTAAGACAATCAGAATATGCTCATTTTCTACCATCACTAATCAAGTTAATACGAAAATTACAATTTTAAATAAGAGAGAATACCTCATTTCTTCTGAGGTTTTACTCATTTTTTCACTAAGCAGCTCTACTATGCCTGCTTCACGCTTCAGCAAAACTCCCATAAGTTGAGTATTTTTCACTTTCAGCTCTTGAACCAACAGCTGAAAGTATGGAGAAGAATCAGAGGAGTCCTTGATACAGAAATAAAGTAAAAGAAATGCTCACAGTAAATCTATAAACTAGGAAACATGATATCGAACTTTAAAACGACTGAATTGTTTTGCACCAAATGTTTCAAAGACCGAAACTGAAAAGAGCAGTTGAACTATATTATGAAAAAGGAAACTGATGTGGACTCAGAAACATAAATAAAAAGAGGAAAGTAATGCTCCAATGGGAAACAAAAGAGAAGACATGCAATACCTACCTTATCAATGTTCCGAAGAATATTCAACGGTTGTTTTTGAACAGGTTCAGAAGGGCATTCTTTTTGGGTCTGCCTTGAAGTAGAGGCCACTTCTTGGGAAGGCCCTCCAGTAGAAGCCACCATGGGAACAGAGCTCCACACTGTGAACAGAACGGGAACAGGCTTGAAGAAAAAAAAAACAGTCAACTACTATTCCAACAATTGCAATCAAAATGGCCTACCTACTACATAGTTGGCATGATCGGTAAACATGAAGCATTACCTTGGTTAACAAGATGTAGATAAGGCTATCAAAACCAATTCGGTTTTGTCTGAGGGTGGTATTGTCTTTCAAGATAGAGCCCTCATGAATAAGCATCTGCCGTTTGGCAGGAAACTGAGGCCAAATCGTTTCCACACGTTTCTTCAGGTCAGCAACCTAAGAATACGCAGAAATTAACAAAGGGAGAAGCCTGTCTACACTACAAAACTCAAGATTCAAATAACCTAAACACAGAGATACTGATCGAACAAGCGATAGAGTAACCTAATGAAAGGAATTTCCGAATTCTCTTACTCCCCTGCCGCTACTATTTCTACCAAACAAAATAAGTAATCGCAACAAACCAAAATTGCTGTAAAATAAGGCATATAGACAAGTCACGGTGAGAAACGTGGTTGTTCTATTCCTAATTCTATTACGGACGTGAACAGAAATCAAGAGTCAAGTAATAAGCGCTAAAGAACATAGAGATGAGCATCAGAAATGCAATAGGTTTTAACCTTATGGTAATCCATCACTTCGATTCTGCGGCGATAGCCCCGCAGAGTGACGATGAGGATGTCGATCGGGAAGCCTTTTTCGCCTCCGCCGTCTTTCTGTTCGCTCTTCTCCGTTGGAGACTCTGTTCCCTCTTTATCATCCTTCGTGCTCGGAGAACCCATTCTTCCCCCTTTCTTTGCTTTCATGCTCTGCATATCACTCATTTCTTCGGGATTTCGGATTCTTAGGGTTTACGCTTTGTCTACCGATCACGTTGAACTCTCACCGCCGGTACTCTTTATAAGGGGGGAATGATAAAAGAGTACAACGGCTTCAGAGATGCTGGTTTCGCAATCAGTTTTGTCATTTTGTGGACCGTGGATTTCGGGCGGGACCCATGCTCGCTCATCCCCCGCCAAAACTCTCTTTCTTTTGTTTTCTTTTTTATTTCTTTACCTTTGCTATTTATTACTACTAACGATAAGAAATTTAAAAAAAAAAAAGAAATCAGTAACTTTGAGTCACTTAAAAAACAATAGAGCTCATTATATTCATTAATATTTTAAAAAATAATTAGAACACAATTGAATTTTAATTGTGTAAGTAATATGATAGTTCCTCCCTGAGGGAGTGAATTGAATATGATAAACTTAATTAGAGCAACTCCAATATTGCTTTACAACAGCAATTTGTTAAGTGTGACAGTAGATCAGCACATAAGTAGCAGCTTGATGCTGCTCTAGGCTTCTAGCACTATTGCAGTGGCAGCAAACAAAAATGATATTTTTTGCATTATTACGAAATACAAATTTGTATTTTATATTAAGGACCAAAGGGGTGATAATAAAGAATGATAGGAAAAATGAATGTACAAGAGATTTTATTTTATATTTTTAGTAAAAGTACTCCTTTTGTCCCAGAAAAATAATTTGTATTGAGTTTTTAAATTTATACTCGCTGTGACTCAAAATGATTGTCCAGCTTTGAATTTTACTTTTACTACAATTTGAACCAAAATGAAAATTCAAACCAGATAATAATTTTAGGACGAAAGCCGAAAGAGTATTAAAATCACTACAAATCTCAAATCTCTGTGTGAATCATTTTTTTAATAACAGTGGAAGAATTTCGAATTGGAGATGACCGTATCGTACAATGCTCTTGAACATCTCTAAGAATTTGCACTAATTTGGCACATAAATAGAATATTCCAAACATCTTCTTTACACTAAAATTCTTGTCATTCCGACCTTGATGCATCAAAGGTCTAAAGATGTTTTAGTTTGAATTTTATTTTGATGATTGATTAAAATCTTATAATTTTGGTGATAATTTTCTAGAACTTATTTCTTAATTGCTTTTTATTTTATTGTAGAGAGATCAAGTTTTTGTAATCTTGTTGCATATTCAATTTTAATAATAGCTAAAAATATGTTTTTCTTAAAAGTATTAATTTTACATTGAATATTGTCTTATTTTAAATATCTCAACAAGATCTTTAATCTGATATAATTTCAGAATGTAATTCGTTTTGCAAGTTTAACAATATAATAAACATGTTTTGGATCAAAATAAAAGGATAGTACACTAATAAATAGTGTAATCTAGCCCTCACCACGGTTCTAGAACCATCGATTACGATTCTAAAACCGCCGGTTCATGGTTTCAAGAGAGATGGATCCATAATCGAACTATGTAAGAGGCGGTTTCAAACGATCACGGTTTGTGACGGTTCCAGTGCCGGTTACGACTTTGGTTATGATTTCAACTTAGGTTACAGTTTTCATTTGATTCTAATTATTATTTTGATATTTATTGTATTTGAATAGCTTTATTTCTTATTTAAAAGTTTTCTTTTGTCATGGATAACAATTATTTCAACTTGACAAAGACTGAGGAATGAGTAGTTTAATTTTTTTATTAATCACGCTAAGTTTATAGTAGAAGTCACATAGTAAGAAATTAACTAAAAATAATTTTTAGTTTTTTGATAATTAAATAAAATTTTTTTTTTTTTACGGTTCTAACCCGAATCGAACCGTCAGTTACGGTGCTGATTCTTATAAATGAAGAACCAGAACCGAACCAAAACATTATGGTTACGATTATGGCTTTTGAACCATAAATTGCAGTTATAGTTTAGAACCGAAATTGATGATTCGGTTTCGATTTGGTTCCGGTTCGAACCAGAACCTTGGTCAGGTAATCGACAATTTTAAACTAAATCTGGTGTCATGCCAAAATATAAAAATGTACACATTCTTGCCTTGTACGGCAATCACAACAAAAACACGAATGCCTTTCTTACAAATACTATTGGTTCGATTTTATTTGAATCAGACTGAGCCCAAATCGTCAATAGACCACAGAATGGGAAAGAAAATGGGTCACTGGGTAAGGTAGACTTTGGGCCGCTCGGATCTTAAATTTGGAAAGTTCCACCAGCGCACCATTTAGGCAATACAAGTATCCATACTTACCTTACTTTATATATTTCAAGAAAATAAATTCGAGGCCATACTACTACACTATCATATCATTCATAATTACCAAACGTCAGAGGAGATCAGAATTACCAAATATCAACGGAGATTTTCAAAACCCAAGGCGACTACGGCGAAACCTCCGATCATCAGCGACCCACCCACCGAGATTTTTCTCAGTGAAGTGAGTTCCAGTATCCCTCGCTTAGCATTTCAGGATAATCCAACAGTTTTTCTGCCGATGGTTATGTTTTTTAAACGCCTGTTCTGCCTCTGATGTTGATAATGATAATTATGTGTTTTTCCTCTCTTGTTGCTTTTTTCATTTCTTAGCTTAGATCTTACTCTCTCTGTTTGCTAACATTTTCTTTTTTTTTTATTTTAAAATTTGATGTCGCCGGATTAGGGTTTCGGGAATATTCCTGATGGCTGTGATTTCTTGAGTTCTTTGAGGGCATGGAGTCAATGATTCGTAGTGTTGGTCGTAGTTTTTACAATTGTTTCCTTGATCGTAGTGTCTCTGTTCATTAATTTTTTGAATTTGATTTATGATTCTGTTGGGATTGGATTGTTGGGGAGAAGAGAAGAGGGGAAGAGTGGGGGCGCTTCAAAAGTGGGGTTTGATGTTTACAATTCTTTAATGAAGGGGAAAATAACAAACATAGTAGTAGTTGTTGTTGATGACACTATATTTCATATTCTGTCAGATCAAAAAGCTACTGGAAGAATACGGAGGAATTTTGATCAAGGCCAGGCAACAGGCCAAAGTTGCCAGACAGAAAGGTCTCATGCTGAGTCCCATGCAGCTAAATGAACTTGAAGTATTGGAGGGAAGGATCTCTGAGGTATACATTGCTGGTCTGTTGTGTGTTTTGTTAGTCTGTAAACTGATCTATAAACTGATATTTGTACTTCTTTGTGTGTATAGCGAATTAGGAAGGTTGACTCCACTCCCCTCCATTTGGAGGAAAGGAAGTATTTCCATGAAGAATTGAATGGGCTTCTGCATGCTACATGTATAATCGGCTTTCCCCGTAAAGTAAAGCTGCATGGTGAGGTTGATGACTCGATAATTCTTGAGGAGGTGGACGTGCCAAAATCACCACACCGCGTCATCACATCCGAGGAGACTGAGGCTACGCTGGAGACATTTGCAATTGAACCTAACGAAGACCCTGGAATTGAGCAATATCTGGATGAGCAGTGGAATAAGTTTGTAGTGGAGAAATATTATGGGCTGCTGGAGGATATCCTTCTGCTGATCAGGGATACGGAGTTGGAGTAGGGAGTTATATTACGTCTGTTTGGATGAATGGATTATAACTATTCTCCTGAGGTTATTTCAGTGGTGACTTTTTCTGTTATATGTGGTTCTTCTTCGTATACTGTTGTTCTTAGTTAACATTCGATTTTTTGAAACTTAAAAGATAGCTGAATCGCATGTTTGCATCTGTCCTTCAATCAGCCTGAATACTACTACTTTTTGTCATCTGGAAACTTGGAATAACAGTGTAAGGTTTTGATGGTACAGCTATGTGTTAGTTCATAACTGTGATTCTGATACAACGATATTGCGTTATGAGATCGAAGAAGTGCTGATTATTGAGCAGGGAAGGTAAGTTCGTTTGAGTAGATGGACATGGTTAAAACCTTGAGTAAATGTGAATCATTTCTGTAAGGAGCAAAAGATTGAGAAAATCTTTTAAATATTGGCAGATTATATTCGGTTTTGCAGATGATAAATGTACAGTTTTTTGGGGACTTTTAAGCGAACGTATCTGTAGCCTCAGGTTTATACATCCTTCTGGATTACCGGGTGAACGCAACTGATTAGTATCCAAATTCTTCATGATTTTATTTCACGAGTACTAACTACAAGGTCGACCAACCTTCAGGATTAAGAAAAGATGCTGTGAATAGTATATGAATAAGAAGTTAAGAACAGTATATGATACTGAACTGGGAAATTAAGGATATTTTGCATTCGCCCAACTTCAGCCCTGAAATAGTACTTGCAGGAACAGAAATACCTTGTAAATGCTGCCGTCGTAAATGTTGTTTGAAGAATGACCAAATAAATGATGGCAATGCTTTTTTCTTGTGCTCCGGTAACACTTGGGAAGCATTTCATTCTATGTGGTCTCCATAGATGGAAACTGGATAAGGGGAGAGACTGGCTTTTTAATTGGTTTCGGAATTTGTTTTTCATCTTCATGATTGCCCAAATCAAACAATGCCATAACACCCTGCTCTAGGAATTCAGAATCCCACCACCAGTGCCACCCAATTCCCAAAAGTTTTTCCTTCCCTGAAGACTTTATGGACTCGCAGCTTAACAATTTTGCAATAGCTGCAATCTCTGACCAGCAAAATACAACTCTTCGATGTAATGGACTGCATAAAAAAACCTCTTCCTCTTCCTCTTCCTCTTCTTCCCTTGTTATGTGCCCCATACTCCTTTCAGTAACACCAGACGTAATTGGACTGCCTAACCTTTTTTTTCAGCTCTTGTAGCAAGTATTTCATTACAGCCTTTCCTTGCAACATGTAGGAAAATTCAGGATGAGCGTTGATCTTTCGGGGTAAAATTGACAAATTTTGAAATACTAGGAGAAATCGGCAATTTACATTTCAACAATATTTTAGGGGAAAAAAAGGTTCAGACGCCCAAATAATAAAAAACACTAGAGAAACCCGCTATATTGTGACAAAATCCCCTTCCCGCGAAAAGAAAGCTCACCCCACATATCGGAAAAACCGGCTATGTCGACGGTGGTGGTTTTGGACAACGGCGGCGGCCTAATTAAAGCCGGCATAGGCGGCGAGATGGACCCCGTATGCGTCGTTCCCAACTGCACAGCTCGTCCCCTGGCTTCCAAGAAGTGGTTGCTCGCCGACCAACTCCTTTCCCCAACCGAAGACCTCACCTCCGCCACCATCCGCCGCCCCTTCGACCGCGGCTACTTAACGAACCCAGATCTCCAGTCCACCATCTGGGCCCACGTCTTCAACAATCTCCTCAAAGTGACGCCGTCTCAGTGCTCCCTCCTCCTTACGGAGCCCCTCTTCACGTTGCCTTCAATTCAGCGTTCTGTGGACGAATTGGTATTCGAAGAGTTCAATTTTGAGTCCCTTTTTGTTGCTGATAGTCCATCTTTAGTCCATTTGTACGAGGCTTCTAGAAGACCTTATGGGCTGGCCTCTAGAGCTCAGTGTAGCTTGGTTGTGGATTGTGGGTTTAGTTTTACTCATGCCGCCCCTGTGTTCCAGAACTTCACTTTGAACTATGGGGTGAAAAGATTGGATCTTGGGGGCAAGGCATTGACTAATTATTTGAAAGAGTTAGTGAGTTATAGGAGCGTGAATGTGATGGACGAGACCTTTATAATTGATGATGTTAAGGAGAAGCTGTGCTTTGTTTCTTTGGATATTGACAGGGACTTGGAGGTTGCAAGGTACTAATGACTTGTCTAAATGAGTGAATAAAAAAGTATTGTATCTTAGTGTATCATGTGGGATATTTAGGATCTGGACTTCTTGATCAATCTTACTTGATAACTCTTTATCATGAAGTCGACGAATGATTTGTTCAACTGATAATTTCGATTTTGCTTGACGTGTGACGGTATTAATGTTACAGGAGAAGGGGTAGAGATAATTTGTTCAGATGCACATATGTCCTTCCTGATGGCATCACTCATACAAGGGGTTTTGTCAAGGACCCGAATGAAGCCAAGAGGTATATGAGTTTAGATGATGAAGATGAAAAAGAGGATGAAACCGACCTAATGGATACCACAGAAAGATCTGATAGACGGACGATTGACTTGTCCAAAAATGTACTGGCTTCTATTACTTTCAGAAACTAGTAGCTTGCTTGTATAGTATTCTTAATTCTAACATTTATCTTTTCCTGCAGGAGTTTAGCGTGACAAATGAGCGGTTTGTTGTACCAGAGATGATCTTTCGGCCAGCTGATTTAGGTTTGTCTTAAGACTATCTTTACATTGACTGTTAATGAGAAATGATGCTCTATAAGTTGAGATAACTGTTGCACAACTTTTATTCACGTAATCCAGTTATGACCGAGCAGCAGATGTTGGTCTATAACTTGTATCAGCTATCTTGTTTTTAGCTTGTCTTTCCCTTTTGTTTTAGACTATCAGCTCTATTGGGGAACTCATACTGGATTCAGTATCTTGTGAATGTAATACATTTAGTCTGCCATTTTCTTAAAACTCTCTTCTATCTATTGACACATTGGTTGTCTTCAGGAATGAACCAAGCAGGGCTAGCAGAATGCATTGTGCGTGCCGTCAATTCCTGTCATCCTTACCTTCATCCCGTGCTCTATGAAAGGTATTAACAGCCATCTCCAAATAAATTGAAAGTCCTCCTTTGGTCAATTTGAATCAACATACATATCTAGTGTCTTGTAGTTGGTCTTACTATTTTGATATTGTTTTCTGGCAGTATCATATTAACTGGTGGAAGCACTCTGTTTCCTCGATTTGCTGAAAGATTGTAAGTGTTAGACTCTCTGCGTTATTCTGTACCCCCTATATTTAAATTTCTAGGTTTTCATAACTTCTTTTATGCAGGGAGAAGGAGCTTCGCCCCCTTGTCCCGGATGAATATAGAGTGAAAATAACCTGTCAAGAAGAGTAATCATCGCTACCTTATATACTTTGAAAACCTCATGCTGCTCTTTAGAGTTTTAACAAAATTGGTTTTGCAGCCGCATATTAGGTGTCTGGCGAGGGGGATCACTTTTCACATCCAGTCCTGACTTTGAAACAATGTGTGTTAGCAAGGCTGAATACGAAGAGTTGGGTTCGGCTCGATGCCGCAGGAGATTTTTTCGCTAGTGTGTAAAAGTCTGAAGGTAGTAAATGTTTGTATAATAAATTTCTTAGCTTTAATCTGCTTGTCCTGGATGTTGTTTCAGTTTTTTAAATGATAAACTAAACCTTGGCTGAGGAAAACGGGTGGGAATTATAGCCTTATAAGATTTATGAGCTTTGAGTAAACATGAGTTCCAAGTGTAGTATTTCATTCCTAGTCCTGGTAGTTTAGACCATTGTATGCTTGCTACATAATGCCCCTGTGTTCCAGTGTTAAATCGTGTGAAATCGGTTTCTTCAAGTATTCGTTTTTTCATGCTCTTTATGACCAGAAAAGGTTGATGGAAGTTTTTCTGTCTTCTTGCAGAGACCTACCTACTCAAAGAAGTAACAGCGATTTTGTGGCTTATGTTCTCACTGTTGATTTTTAATGAGGGGTGAATTTGAAATTGGTTTTGAGAAGCAAATAGTTGTCCATATTCCCTACCAAGAAGATATGATAATGGAACTTTTACATTGCTTGTGATCGGAATTTTAAGGAAAATAGGTATCTTAACTAAGTCACCGCAGAGCATGTCCCTCTATTCCTATTCTATATGTCCATTTATGCCCCCTGTGTTGTCCTTCCAGTATTTTATATCTAATCAAGGTTAAATGTGCTTCCAGGTTGGATACTCCACTGATACTTTTTCTCCCCTATTGGTCATGATGTGGTATTGATGGTCGTCGTTCACATAGCTGTGGGATGTGGATTTTGGTCAAAGGACAGAGAGCCTTGATCAAACGCGGGTACTGGTTTTTGCCACGCAATCGTGTAGAAAAGACCCCCAAAAAAAAAAGAAGCAGAAAAAGAAAGTGTGTTTATTCTTGGCAATGTGATAGTAGGCATCATTGTTGAAAGTATCGGGTTGGCTGCTTTCTGATTATATAGCATTAGCTCAATTGTTGCGTTTCTTTGGGCAAGCTAATAAATTCATGTTACCACACCAAGTCTTTATTAACCTACAGTTTCGAATTTTGTCCTTTTTAGCTACTGCGTGTCTCTATTCATCTCACGTTCTTACTTTTACGATTCATTTATTTACTTTTAAGAGTCATTTATTATATACGTAGAGAACTAATGTTCCTTTGAAGATGGAGTCGTATGGCCGCCCTCATAGTAATCTGGCTGTTCCACTACTCCACAAGACTCATCATTCAAATCCAAACAAACAATTTCGTCGCCTGCAAGATGGATTTTGTTAGTCCAATGCAGCTTCCCTGAGTGAAAGTAACTTCAAATTTCTTTCAAAAGGGTTTTACTACATACATGATGAAGTTCATTATACAATGTCTGTACAATTTGTTTTCCCCGTACAAATGTATCTCTCTGGTACAAGTATATGTCTATATGATGCAAAATTTGGCTGGCGGGATGACCTTTATCAGCGTAAGCAATAATTACATCTTTGATACACAAGCAATTAACTATGTTGATGAAGATGAATCATCTTAGTTGGAACTGGAAGGCCCCAGGAAATATCCTTTACCCGATGATTTTATCTTAGTTGATCGAGGATTTTCTGACCTTGTTTTTACCTGGCTCCCCATCTGAGTACGTGAAAAAACTTCCCCTGCAGAGAAACTTCTACGGAGAAGTGAACTTGGTGGGAAGATCACAAATTAACCGAAACTGGAGTAGTCAACTCAATCAGAAAAAGGCTGCAAATCCATGCACATATGCACCAGTTTTCTTTGGAACTGACCATAGTATTCACCAACAGCAACAACATCTTCATTCTCGGGATTTAATCCTGGTAAGTAAGGCAGTTTATCCTTAACAAGGGAACTAGATTCTTCATCTGAATCCATAGTTGAGATGAAATCAGCATGGATTTCGCGGCAGGCAAGGATGAACATAGCAGCAGTGTCTGGTTGCTGTGCTTCACGAAGTGCAGCCAATGCATCTTGTAACGAGCCAGCCGCAACAAATAATATCAGAGCCCTGCACCAATGAATATGGATATCACCGATACAGAAAATATTATGAAATGCATTATACATAAGAAGGTTATTACCTCCAGATATTGTGTTCAGCACGCAGTACATGTTCAGCCCACCTCTGCAAAACCCTGTACCGTGAAAATATAAAATAAAATCTCTTATGTTCACATCAACCCCAAAGTAGCCAAAAGATGTCATACAAATAAAGACGGTAAGAGAGTCGAAATCTATCAGGAGATTGAGAAGCAAAATAATTCAGTACAACTTTCAAGTGTTAAGATGTCCAGGAGAGTAGTTGCTTGTTTAGGTCTATGATATAAGATGGAGATTATTAAAAAAAGTGCAAACTATGTACAATAACTGTGTGGTATCTTAACTCTGTAACACAAACTACTTTTTTCTTCTTTCTTTCTTTTTCTTTTTTTTTTTTTTTTTGACGAACCAATTGCAGAAACTAACTTCATTAGAAGAAAGCAAAAAAATTGAATGACATAAAGTAAATGTTAGACCTAGCTTCCCATTCGGACAAGAGACATGCAGACAATTGTAAATTAAATAATCGATCCATTCTGAAGCTTAAGAGAATCCATTCATAAAGCAGCAATTGTTCACCTTATATAATTATGCATGTTAGTTAGAAAGCTTTAAAGAGAATCACAAGATGTAGAAGGTGGAATCAACCTGGCATAATCAGACCCCTTCAGATGCGTTGCAGCTAATGTGGCAGCATCTGTCCAGCAACCAGCATCTTGTAGCTGTAAACGGAGTGTCATATCAGAAAGGAAAATCAGAAATCTGGAATATACGCATTGATCATTCATCCAGTATTATCATTGGGCAAATTATCAACACTTAAAAAGAATCTAAATAGCAATGCCGACAAAAGTAATCCAGAAATTCTTTCCTCCTACATATAACCGTCATAAAGTATCATAAGATGATCTCTGCCAATTGACAAAACAGCATTTCCTAAGTACCATAACCCACATCATGAAACAGCTAAGTCATGGCCCTACCTGAGAACAAGCTTCTTGATACCTTCCTACAGCACATAGCAAATGTGTTCCGGACAGTGATCGGTCAGTTCTAACCATATTTGCTGCAACAACCTACATAAGCATAGCCTACTATGAGACAGAATGGTTATGAAATTTTCTTGGTTGTCTAGGACAGTTTAAAAACAAGTTATGAGCACAGAAGCATTGCAAAAGGGCTCTTCCAAAAGAAGTAAGGGCAAAGAAGTAGTAAAACCTTCCCCTTCCTGCTCTCCCAATGAGCAGAAATATAAGAAAAAAGCTTCTTTACTCTAGACATGTACCTTTAAAGCCAGCTCAAGCAAAGATCTTGACACTGCAGATGAAAGAGCAACAGCACGCAGAGCATTTGGATAGAAATAAGGGCTTTCTGGTGAAGTTAAAAGCAGCAAACTAACAGCAGCTTCTAAGTTCCCAACTGAGACTAGTCTGGAAATTAAACGTTTAACATGTGGTAAGCAGAAAGCAGCAACAAATGAATTTTCAATTAGAACTAGCTATAAGAAATAATCATTATTCAAGTAATATTGCAGGACAATAACAGCCACTACATTTTGATTGTACAATACTTGTCAAGTCTCTAGTAAGATATCAAGATCAAGCAGTGAAATGATAGGTGAAGAGCTTCCTTGTTTAAAGGAAACTGCCCAGATCAACAGCAGGCTTTCATATGTTACACTTGAAACAGAAATCTTACATCCGTTTAGAACTTCAGATGTCTTACTCATCATTGGTTAAAATAGTACCACGAAAAGGAAATTTCGTCTTGAAAAGGAGAATTCAATGATTCAAGTTAGAGAACTTACTCGTGCACTTGATTCTGAACAGCATCTTCACCCTCCAACTTTTCATGCCAAGGGATGCGTTCACTAGCTGAACCCCACAACTCTTCTTGCTCAAAAGCCATCAATCTAAGTTGGCCATTTGTCTGCCAGGAAAATAGCCATGTTTAATTAATAGAATAGATTCATGCACATCAGTTGGTACTAATACTATAGCGTATTCCAAAGACCAAATAGTGTTCTTATGGTCCCCAGTACTAACAAACAAAATCAGATTTAATCAATTTATCAAAAATAAAAATTCAAAGCCTTTTGGCAATACGAACCATCAAACTTTTCCCTTCTCCAGATATTGCTTTTCCCCTTGAAGATATCCTATTCAGCATAGATGCCTCATCCAGCTCTGAGGTAGAAGATTGTTGTGGGGCTTTCTGGGGAGATTTGTAGACCAACTTATTCATTAAGTGCTTCAGAGCTTTAGGAAGCTGCAGCCAGAAGAGTGCTTCCATAAAATCACCAAATATTGCAGCTGCAAATGCAAACCTGAGTGCAGACCCTTTATTTACTGCCCCCGCATATAATCTCACCCTCTCATCATCAAGAATGCAGCCTAAAAATTGAAGGGGAAAAAAAACAAAATTACAATTAAAAATGGAAATTTAAGCCAAGGAGAGTTCACAAAAGCCATTAGTAACCTTCAGTTAATAAGAAAACAACCCACCTTCTTTACGATAAGGCTCCAATACCTTTAGAAGCATCTCTGGAACTACAGAGTCACCTACACGAGGTGAATCGATCATATGACTGCGAAGATCTGTACTTGTCGGAGTTGTAGGAACATGATGAGGTGCATTGTCCATAACTGTATAGAATGTATTAAACCAAGAGGGTTTCACCCCTAATTGCAGGATCATACGCAATGCCTATAGTAAGAAGAAAGCAATAACAGGTATCAATAATAGGTTTTCCACAAAAAAAAAAAAAAGGAAGCGAACAATAGATTGAATCAAGATAACCTAGTCTGTAGCTTCACACCTGATCGAGTGCAATCAAACACAACTTCAAGACAAATTGGCAGATCAACAATACAATGCTTGTAGTAACAATCAGATACAGAGACCATCCACGTCCAAAAAAAAAAAAAATGTCTCCAGCAATCTGAAGAGTACAGTACAGATCCACATTGAACAAAACATACTAAACACACACAAATCATCAAATTTTAACTTCAGACAGTCCATTCAGTAATAACTTAGCATCATGATCCAACATGTAACAGGGCATGATTGCCAATGAGAGCTATCAACATTCCAAACTAAGAAATTACATTAGACAAAGGATAACTCAGGAGAAAATGCATTAACAATGTAGAAAAAGTTAAAACTTCCGGATAATTTTTCTTTTGTCTTTCCACAGTTCAAACTTATAGATAGCTAAAATTTAGTGCACAACACAAAACCACTAGTTTCATTATGTACATGTGATGAGCAAGACCAATATAGAATTAACTTACGAGGGCATGTGGTGTAGGCAGCAATACAGGAGAGCATAAAGGGACAGGACGGAATCTTTCTTTAATACTTCGATCAAGGGATTCGTAGCCCAATCTTCTATCACTTCTGCATCAATGAGGGGGAAATTTACAGCTCATTTGCAAATTGGTTTTAACCTTAATAAAATCTCATTTTTTTCCAGGATTCTAATAGACGCGTGAGAAGCCAAATATAAGGAAGATAATACTATAGAGATATACAATGAAAGTAAGAGATTAGAGGATCCAGGAAGCGTTCTACTACAAAGATGAGAAGGTCAGAGATGAGGTCTTCCTTAAAAAGTACACAAGTGTAAGTTGTGCATAAGCCAACAAAATATATGGATTATCAGTCAAGACACTATACCGACAAGTTCAGAATAGTTGAAAAGAAGATGAGTGACATACAATTTGACCTCAATAAGGCGAAAGCTGCTGTCAGCTCCAGCAATGCACAATACTAGTGGATCATTCTTATCAACACGTACAGGCAACCAATCTAATTCCAGTACCAATGTTCCAGGAAACTGAGGCTGCAAGAGGGAATTGGCTAATGGATCAGGTGAATCCTGCAAGGGGAAACACATTTTAAACTTTAGAATCAATAAGGAGTATATTAATTAAAATGGACGAAGTAAGTTGGTAAAATATTCTGCATATGCGATTCATGCTTTCTAGAAGAAAAAGTTATGCCAGAAACAGTAACAATTTGTTTTCCATCGACATGAAAGAAACTGGAAAAAGGGAGACCAGTTTGAAGATGAACATACATAATTCCTGCTAATCTTGAAAGCAAAATTGCAACCAAATCACTGTGCTGACACTACAGAGTATACAAAAACCTAAAACATAATGTGTTGCTGTTTAAATTCATGCATAAAACAAATTTGTAAACACAAAACCCGGCCTTACAAGATCAAACACAGAAAAGGTGTTGTCATAAAAAAGAACAGCAATACGCCCACGACTTCGATCTCCAAGGACCACCGGCGAAAACTTGATCCTACGGATTCCCTCCCTATGAGTGTTAAATGATGATGACTGGCCAGTAGTCACATCCCACCAACGTATATTTCCTGACCGGTCCCCCATAACCTATAACATATAACTATGAATTCATCCATTGAAGTGCTTAATAAGAATTAAAATTACAGCTGGATATTGCTGCTAGACCAAGGAAATCCTTACAACATGGGGCAAGCGATAAGCCATGGCCGTGATTAATCCATCACCGGACACAAATGTTGAAGTAGGCCATTTGGGTCTGCAAATGACAAAAAGTGCTAAGAGATAATAAAATAGAAAAAAATCAAGAAATTTGAACATTTTATTTTTATCTTATTTCCGCCGGGAGGGGGCGAGTGGAAGTGTGGGTGGGTGTTGGGATTGAAGTTTTCATTTTAAGAAGGGGAAAACATCCAGAGGTACATATGCAATTTACTGGTTAAATTTCAAAACTAGCATTAACATACATAACTTGAAGACTCGTACCCAAAAAAGTACTAACTAAAGACAAATACATAAACATAAAAATATCTTTTATTTCTTAGTCCCATAATTCACTATACCATTCCACTGGATGATTTCTGAATATTATTTGCCATGTAAGAATATAATCTTTCGGCAATTGAAAAAGCCAAACCTGAAGTCTCGGATCCTCCTTCCATGAACCTCAAAAACACCAAGTGCGCCATTTACCAGAGCAAATGCAAAACTTTCTGAAAATTCCTCTTGAGCACCATCTGTACTTGCTTCCTCTACAACCAAAAGGAATTTTGTCACAAACAACGGAAAAATCAAGAAATAACCAAGGGGAGGATGTCCCAGATGACAGTATGGATGTCATATCTTAAAACAACAAAATAACCAACAAAGAACTAGTAGCTCACTGGTATCTGCAGAGGATGCCTTCATAGGGGAGGAAGCCTTAGTAGGGGAGGATGTCCCAGACGGCAGTATGGATGATAGATCTTTTGACAATATTGAGGTTTTAGAAGGTCCAGTTTGAGCTGGGCGAGGTACAGTTGGAAGAGTCCATTCAACTACAGTGAATGGAAGAGCCAATGATCTGAGCTGCATTATGGAACATAAAGAACATGTTCAAATTCACAGGAAACTGAGCAAAATGTTCTAAAAAGAAGAGAGCAAGGTCTAAACATGCGTGCTTATATTCACCATCACATGAATTAATATTCGTACACTGGAGGATAATTTTTACTGCAGAAAACTTCGGAAAATCATGAAAGTACTCTTCATCAATCATTTATAAACAGTAGATATCCACAACTCATTTTCTAAAGTGAAAATCTTTCTCCTCATCAGTCAGGCCTCTCTCAATCAGCAGTACCCTCACAACATTCCAACCCAAAAATAAAATAGTTGATCGTAAAAAGCAATTTGGACGGTCAACTAAGCACAAACCCCTGCAGGTGTTCTAGAACATTTAATAGTTCATATACATTTCCATTTGGATGTAACAGAATTAAAACAACCGAAAGTGTAGAAGATGCTCAAAATTTAAAAAAGGGGATTTACCATAATTGGGGTCTTCGTCATTGCCCAAACCTCTACAGGTGCATCACGAAACAAGATTAAAAGGTACCTAATTGAAAAAAAAAAAAAGAAAAAAAAAAAGAAGAAGAAAAGCAATGTGTGATCAGCTGTCAATTTAGAAAGAAGAATGAAAACCTATACCAACCGAATCCTCCTGCTAATTTATTTAGAGAATCTTTTGAGGCAATTACCATATGTCTCACGAATTACATCCATCTGAAAAAATTTTCGAGAAAGCTATTGTTTGCAAAAGGACAGATTCTCAATTGATACTATTCAACAGAGAAAAACATCCAAAACAACCTTTGATTTTGTGAATCATTGATAAATTTTAAAACAGGCAACTAAAAGGAATAAACTTTTAAATACCATAATGAAAAGACCCTAGATGCTCCAGCTATGCATAAACTTAATGGAACAAAGTGAAAGAACTATAGCAGGCTCCTATAAGTTTCAAAATTACGGTTTAAGTACAGTAGATATAGAAATGAAAGAGTATGATGATTGACAAGAGAGAACCTTCCAGAAGATGATGCCCTCAAAGCTCGTATAGGGGCACGCTCTGGTTTTTGCATCACTCGAAATGCTCGATTAAGTCCACTACGGATACATGTTACTACAAGCTTGTTAATGTAGCCTCCATTCTTTTCAGTTCCCTGAGGCCAGATAATCATCATATTACGTTACGACAGCATAAGTAAATAACAAAGCACGAATATATGAAATGATGAGGCCAGAAAATTATCATATTATGTTATGACAGCATGTGTAAATAACAAAACACAAACATATAAATGTTGAAATTTAACTGGAGTAAGATAAATGGAATCATATCATACCTGACTATAGGAAAAAGACACCACTCTAGAATTTCCTAGCCATCGCAATCCCCGGACAACACTATTATGAACAGAAAAACTAGCAGCAACGGCATTCGCAGAAACATCAATGATCTCAATTGTACCGCTTTGGGTTCCCAAAGCAACAAGTGGAACAGCAACAGCAGGAAAATTTCCACCACCTTCATAAATTGTGTCAGGTAGTTTTAATTAATTGTAAGAAACACAGCTGAAGACCTAAGATGAGAATTAGTGATCGTGGAACTAAATGAAGACAATGCTTACGTGCTAAAGTAGCTGTCAAAGAAGGGGACGGTACGGCAAGCATGGTCACTGATGAAGAGAGGAGATGAAGCTGTCCAACTAGGCTAATCTGCAGCATGACATTTTCAGTGTTAGCTCTAAAGATAATGGATTAAATGCAGAAAAGGAACTCCAGGAACATGTACAAGTAAAAATGTGCAGCTAACAGAGTGTGAAAATATCACCACTTAACTTGGTTATAGAATAGTAACAAGGGACTTGCGGTACATAATTTTTTATATTCCTTCCCAGGCAGCATTAAACTAAAAACCCTATAGTAATATTTGTTTCAACGGAACCTGAAAGTTCAGCTAGCCTATTTAAAATGTTGGTTTTCTTTTATCCTGGTGGTTACTTTGAAAATACACCCCCGCCCTCTGAAGAAGGAACTCTGACTGCTTAATAAGGAAACGAGAAGGGCAACAGAGTAGAAAGTTATAAAGTGGGGAAAATTATTTTTTTTAAAAAAAAAGGAAGAAAAGAAAAAGAGCCTAAAACTAAACAAGTAGGGATGATACTCCAGCATTTCAAGATTTTAAATATTGCACTATGAATAGCAAGATGCTCACGCCCAGGTGTTCTGGTGTACCACTTTATCAGAAAGGCTAAACAGGCTTAAGGAACAAGTACAACACAAACCTTGAGTGATACTTCCTCCTTGCTAATTGACGGAGCACTCCTAGAACTATTACCATCCCTCGACGGTATAACCACATCCAATGACGCATTACCAGGAGCGGGAACTTCTGTGGCTGCACTTGCATCAGCAATTGGCATTTTACTTGGATCTTTGTTGGCATCTGGATTTGCTTCATTGCCAGACCCTTCAGCAGTAAGTAGCCATTTCCATATTTTTCCATCATCAGAAATGGATACGATGTGGGTCTTTGAAATAACGAGAGATTCATCAAAAAAATCAAAAGGATTGTTAAAATCTACAGCAAATGAATCTGGTACATCAGAGCAAAGCTTGCTAATGTTTTGGAGCGTAGAATCTGTTTGGGAGATTACAACTGCAAGAACTGATGGAGAAGGCACAGACGTCCCAACCGAGGGCATTAATTCTTCCATCATACACATCATGTGAACCTGTTCTCCTCTGAAGTAGAGCATGTAAAATATTCAGTCCAATAAGCTCAGCTGTGTAACTGGATATCTTTGAACAGCATGACAAAGTCACCAGAAACTTGAAATTCAATCTCACTTTGGAGGAGTTCCATGGAAAGAAAAGAATGTAAAGACAATACGTTCAAAGAAAAACAGAACTGGATACAACAAGGAGCTAATTTCCATAACAGGCAGCAAATCACTTCATTACGAAGAAAAGTGATAACTAACCAAGTACATGCAGACAATCTAATCCACAACGAGAAGTTTTAGTTCAATGTTTGAACAGATGATGGATTGTATTAAATAATTCTATCAGATATATCCAAAAGCTGAAAGTAACAGATGAAGTAGTCCATGAAGTTTCTTGCTCTTTTTGGTAATAGTCGATTTAGTCGGCTTGAGCACAAAAATTATCCATTCTGTTTCATTTATAAGAGCACTCGAAACTTTTTAGAAGGAGCTGCTCCATAAATAAACCAAGGCCATTCTCGAAATCACAAACACTACCTTGCAGCCATTGCCTAGCTAATAAGAAACAGGAAAATGGCGTATATAATTCCTGTAGCTGTTACTATATCATTGTTGAATGTGATCACACGCACTTGGGTTCAGAATCCAAAACAAAAACAAAAAAACAAAAATCAATTCAAGTTACTCAAGTTTAGTGCAATACTTACTCTTTCCTCCTCCACGAACTAAGCTTCCCATCCATATGAGCACAGTAAAAGACTTCCAAATTTGGGTCTGGCAACACATCCAGAAATTTCCCACATCCCCTGGGCAATGAAGCCATGGACAACTCAGTCTCATACTGCAAATCGAAAACCACCAATTCCCTGGGGAACACTACAAATATAATGTGCTTCCAGATCGGTGAAAATGCAAGCCTAACAGCATAAGTAGGAAATACTGCCGACGCCGGAGCTCCATTTCCTCCTCCACTGGAAGAGTTATTGGAATCTCTCTCTAGTCTCTGCAATTCGGAGGAATCCGTCCGAATTTGGAACTCCTTCAAAACGACATCGTTCTCATCATCTCCCAGCACTTTAATGGAGAGCAGAAACCCCTTAAGACCCAAAGCGCAAAAGTGTCTATTGTCAAAAGGGTCTCTCCGGAGGCACGAGAAGAATTCCGGCGAAGCGTCGTACTTGAAGAAACAACGACCGTTTTCCGTGTTGTAGAGGCAAAGCAAAGAAGGTCCGGCAAGAGCAGCAAGGACCCACGAGTCAATTCGGGTCTGAATCCAACAAATGTCCTGGATGCCAAGCTTGGTGTTACTATTGTCCGTTTCGAAGACAAGAATGGACGACTTGGTTCGGAAATCGAGGAGGGAAATGCGGCCTTGGCGATCACCGACAGCGAGGAGAAGGTGATTGGGGGAGTCATTGGTGAGAAGATGGTGGATGAGAGGCTGCGGAGACCACCGGACGGAGGTGACGAAAGGGGAGAGAGAAGGGGTGCCGGCGGCGACGGTCGGAGGAGGAGGGAGAGGAATTGTGGAGACTAACTGCATGGACTGGGTCTCGACAACGGAGACAGAGCTCCCGGCGGCGTAGGCGAGGAGGCCGGTGGCTGAGAGGTCGACGGCACCGCCATTGTTGCGGGAAGGTGGGCCAGGGAGCATGCAATCCCATGATTCATTCAATGGCCGCTGAATTGACGACATCGTTTTCGCATCTGTCTTTGGGAAGAAGATCAGAGAGTCATAGAGTCGGTGATCGAGTGTGCCAAACAGTTGATAAATGAAATTCAACGGAATTGAAGTAAAGCCCGGAGGATTGGTGAATTAATAACTAATAAGTAAATAGATCTTGGAGCTTCAATCTTCAACTCTCTTCGACTTGTACAAGTCTCCGGGAAGTTAGTGTGTGAGTGTGTGCGAATTTTCGCCGGAGTTGTGTACGTGCACCTAAAACTAAAATAATTACTATAAAAGATTGAAAATTAGAAAGACACTGCCAGGGTGGCGCTTTGACGGAGGGACGCGCTGTTAAAGTAAGTAACTGCAGTTAATTCTATGGTGAGGCCTTAATAATCAAAGGGGGAAAAAAGTTACTACTGTCAAAAATGTTGATTTCATTCTTAGAGCTAATGTTTTCATTTTCTTAATACATACTACTATCTTACATATTTATACTACATACTATAACTTGATATTTTTTTTAAAAAAAATAAATCTATACCGATACATGCTCCAAATTTTTAAAAAATTTTGAAACTCGGATAAGCTAATATACTATACTAGCGTGACTCACATCATTAAACGTATACAATCTTATTACAATCGTTCTTTGATTTTTTTTAATTAAAAAAAAAGTCGATGTTACCAACACAAAATTAAATTCTAAAACTTTGAATGAGAATAAATGTCATCACCCATAGACAGGTCGGTGCAAAGCATAATAATATCCGAAAAAAGGAAGAGGTGTGAACCTAGCTTGAAGAAGCAAGCAATAGCACTAGCAACAAGAAGAAACTCAGGATTGCAGAGCTTAAAATTACGTTGGAGAAAAGAAACCCTAGCAGAAGCCAATTAGGCCCGCCACTTAAATTCTTCTTCCCCAAGCGAAAAAATTGAATCTGAGAGTTTGAATAATACTTTAGGGTATATTTTATTAGGTTTAAAATTATTCTTATCATAGTACTTTATATGTATGGATGACTAATTTTTTTGTATACGGTAATTGTTACTCTTTTTGTCTTAACAAAATAGTAGAAAAGATCGGTTTTGGATTAAAGGAGTGATATTTTTCTTGCATATAAGGGAAACAAAACAGAGAGAAATAGTGCCAAGAAACTTTAATCTGAGATATGTTATCATGTCAAACTTAGTAAAATTTGGAACTTTAGAATTACTTACTATCCACAAATGAAAAAAAGAGCAGAAGATTATGGACAACATTCCACTCTTTTTTTATTAAATAAAATTTTGATCTTATACGATGTAAATAAATCTAAAGAGAGAGAATCACGTATTGTTTGTGGTAACTCGAACATATGCACAAGTGATGAAGAAAATATTTTCTTTTTATATCAAATACTCCTACAATACAAACTCTATTTTCGTTCGCTCCTTTTTCTTTCATTTTTTTCCCAAAAAGAAAATGGAAGAATTGTTTAGTTTATTATTGTGCGCAATTACCTGTGTATCTTGAGAAATTATTCTGTGTAGCTACTCTATCACGTCGGATTATGCATACAATAATAGGGTAAAGTAGTAATTTTTAGCGAAGAAATAATTTCTACGAGAATTATAACACTAATTGCTAATATTTAATGCATTAAAAATATAACACTAATTACTAATACTTGATGCATTAAAAACTAAGTTACAGCAGCTAGCAGTTGTAGCCAATAATTTTTATTTTTTTTTGTGTATTCTTATATGCTTAAGGATTAGGACCGGTCAACTCAACCGTCATAAAATACAGTTATATAATAAAACTGGAGTAAAGTAACTAACTGCACGCTGCTGAGTTGATTCTTGAAATTCCCAACTCTTATCTATTTGTGCTCTGTGTTCATCTTCTTTCTTTCCTTTGTCAATTTCTCCACAACCAAATTCCCAACTGGGCTTCATTTTCCATTTCACTATTACGTATCAGAATTCACAAATTGGATTTGACAGCTTCGTGATTGGATCCTTGCTCTATATAAATACAGTCAATTTTTCAATTTTAATTTGAAGTTAATGACATGGAAACGGTTGTCAATAATAGCAGAGGAAGCCCTGCCGCCGCCGCAGCCGCAGGGGAGGCGGCGATTGTAGATGAGAGATTCTGCTTCGAAGAAGAAACCCATCTCACAGTTCACAAGACTTCTGTCTTCGTCCCCGGCGCAAGCGACGGTTTCATTGTCTATAACCCCGCCGGCGAGATTATCTTCCGGGTTGATTCCTACGGCCCCGATTCCGCCTCTAAAGACGAGCTCGTTCTTATGGATTCTACCGGAAAATCCCTCGTCACGCTTCTCCGGAAGGTTAGTTAAGTAGTTTTCTGATACTGTCAATCACATTTCGTTAAAGGGTCTCTAGTTATAAGAAGTATGATTTGTTTACTGTTGGATTATATTCTTCATCACTTCAGTTATGGCCGCCTCTTCCATTTCAAATTCTTACAGTTCCATATGATTGTTTTCGTTAAAGGGGTCTCTAGTTATGGTCTTGATTTCCCTTGCGTCATTTAGGAAAAATGTGTTTACATTATCCCACTGGGAATTGTCTAGACTTAGTTTTGACTTGTTCTGCTTGGCATTACTTTGGACAATCAGATATGGTGCATATGTTTGATTCAATTGATGGTTTCCTGGTGTACCTTTTTTGGTTGTTTCTGAACAATTTTCCTTCCAATTTATGAAGGGGAAAAGTAAGGATATTGTACCTTTTAGGCTTTTGTGATAGCAATAGCCAATAGGGGATAATTCAATGGTGCGGATTGACGTCCTTTGCTTAATTGCTTCCTTTACTATTTGCTTCTTTTTTAAAAAAAGCAGAAACCTAGTCTTCATCAAAGGTGGGAAGGATTCCTGGGAGAGAATCATGATCAAGAACCAATCTTTAGCATCTTCAAGTCATCAATTATAGGACAGTTTAATGTAGTGGCAGTGGTTCATGGGCATGACTCAGAGAAAGAATACCACGTCGAAGGTTCTTTTGTACAACGATGTTGTTCCATTGTTTACGACGGCCAAGCAGCAGCAAGCCACAACAACAGCGAGTCGTCATCAACATCGTCGAAAGAAATCGTGGCGGAAATCAAGCGGAAAGTTGATCCTGATAGGAATATCATGCTAGGAAAAGATGTTTTCCTGTTATGCCTAAAACCTTCTGTTGATGCCGCATTCATGATGGCATTACTGCTGATCCTTGATCGAATCAGTGGATCTGATTCAGATATGAATGATAGTTTTAGTAGTCAGGTTCATGATGTCTTAGATAATGACAGCTCTTCTTGAAGAAAAAATCTAGACTTTGTTCTTTTTTCCAATCTTGTGGTAGGCTGGATATTGTTTTGCTTACGTGCGTTAATTTACACTACATATTTTCACAAACACGTTTCTAAATTTGTCAGGAACTCAATTGAAATTTTGCAAATCTCTTACCTACCAGATTTGGGCAGAGATACTGTAGGTGGTAGTGACTTCATGGAAATCTCGTATATAAATATTTTATCCGTCCCAAAATTATAATCACATTCTGTTTCCTTGTATAGATTCTCTGTAAAGTCATTTTGTGTCTATGAATGCTACTAATGTTTCACTATGGAGATTCCATCATTAGGGGGATGAATTTGCATTGCAGCAGTTGAGATTTTGGGTTTTTTTTTTTTTTTTTGCAGCTAAAAACGGAGAATCTTGACACTTGTGGGTGTGCAAGAAGGGGTCCATTTCGGTTAAATTATAAGAACAATGGATTCATAAGCGGACAAATTTGGGTTTGATTTGATGCCCCAAATATCGAGATGAACTGGGAATCTAGGAATCTGCTTATGCGTTATCATGGTACAGTTTGTCGGCGACGCTGATGAATTAGGAATTCGCACGAGGCACGGTAACTGTTCTTTGTACTCGCTGCTCCGCCGGACCGGAATTTTATGGTGATTTTGTCATCAGAAGACAATTTCCCGTTATGCTACTCTCTATAACATCAATTAAGAGGAAACCGGTGCTTGGAAATTTTTAAGGTTTTTGGTACGATTCTACCATGAATAATTTGTACAGTATATAAAATTTTACACTATTTGTAGTTTTGCCTGTATTGTCTTCAATTTATGTTTTGTGATAATCTCTCGTGACAATTGCCAATGAATGATAAAATTAAATACTTATGAACATGTCTAAAGCTCAATAACACACTCTCTACAACATCAACTCCTTGTTCCTTAAAAAAAAAAAAAACTGTCACGGAGACCAACAATCTCTTTTGAAGAAGCAATCATCTCCGTTACACTTTTATTGTCAATTTCCTTTATCAAATTGCAAACAAGTAAATTGTAGCCCTTGAAACAATTTACAACTCAACCCATAATAAAAGACTCGCTCTATCTCAGAAAATAATTTACATTAAATTTTCAAATCTGTTCTAAAACAATTATAAATTTCAAAACTCAATGTTGACCTTTTTTTTTTTTTTTTTGACAAAGATGAAGTATAAATCTATATTCATTACAAAGCGACAAACCATAGAACTAAGCTGGTCCCGTGAGGAACCCCCCTCAAACAAAAGCCATCCCGATTCCGTTTTATTGTTGTGGCTTTTCACTACTAGTGGGTATCGCAGGTGAGTAAGATGAGATTGATGTGAATTTGCTTTTTCTGCTGCATATTTCACATGGATATGTTTCAATCACTACTTAAGAATTGGGGCACCATGATATATGCATGAGAAGGTGTACATAATAAATGCAGGAGAACTTTTCCCAAAAGAAAGAATCAAAGATGGATAATTTTTTGGCCCCTTCATGTGATGATCTTCACTAAATTGAGGGGCAGCAGGGAAACAACACTTACGACAGATTTTTTGAGGCCTAAATTCTCATTAGAAGATTCACCTAAACATCACTTCATGTTAACGGGTGAGAACAATTGGAGACCATTTGCCTCGCCTAACTTTCCAATCCCACCACCAATTCTTAGTGCCAAAAATAACGCATATAATGCTCATAACAAACAAACCTCCCATGTCGAGTAAGTAATGATAGAAACAATGAATCTATTCAGTGTAATTATTTATCAATCGAACGGCTTTTGAAGAACGTCATTTATAAGTTTGTAATTTCAAGTGTATCACTTAATTTTGCTAAATTATTTCACTATTATGAGTGTATAATTTTGCATTTACTGTCTCTATCGTTATTTATTATTATTTTTTTTTTTTTGCGAAAATATTATTACCCCAAAAGAAAGAAACAAACCCCTCCCACATGCCATGATGTGGTCCCAAATTTTACCCTAAAGAAAAGCATTTTCGTACGTAATAATTTTTGGGGGAGAGTGGTTTATTCAATTTTCTGCATTGTGTGACTTGTGAGGGGGACACAACTCCCCCACAACTCCTTATCAAAGCCCCCTACTTTATTTTCTTCCATTGATATTAGGCTATTTTAGGCTTTTTAGTCCCTCTCTGAATTATTGTACTTTTAATAACTAGTACTGCTACACAATTTCAATAAAAAGTAAAAGCATCAAACTACTCATCAGGGTCTCACTTCCCACTGACTCCATCCATCCATTCTTCCAAAGGGCCAAAAAAACAAAAAAAAAAAAAAAAGAACACTTCTTTGGATGGGCATTGAATTGAGAGCAGTGGAAAGCTAGCAGAACAGAACCCCCCTTTGCCCAGTCCTCCTCACATGTCACTTCTTTTTGGCCCAATGATGTAGAGAAAACCTGTGTATGTTTAAAGCTGATTTGTCCATTACCCCTGAAGAATTATAAAGATATGGACTTTCCCCTGTTTTTGAGATGATAAATACAGGGAGAAAGAGAGGGAGGAGGGAGTGGTCTGTGGTTGAGTGAAGGTAAGTTTTCATTTTTGTTGAAAAAATAAAGAGCGGAAGATGCCTAGGCCAGGGCCAAGACCTTATGAGTGTGTTAGAAGAGCATGGCATAGTGATAGACACCAGCCTATGAGAGGTTCAATTGTGCAGCAGATTTTCAAGTATGATTATTTTTGTTGAATTTCTGTTCTGGGTCTTTCTTGATTAGTGGTTTGGGTGTTTTTTAGGGTCACTTTGTGATTTTGCTCACCATCTGTTTGATCAGGGTCGTCTATGAGACTCACAGTGCTGCAACTAAGAAGAATAAGGAATGGCAGGAGAAGTTGCCTATTGTTGTCCTCAAGGCTGAAGAAATTATGTACTCCAAAGCTAATTCTGAGGTGAATTGCTCTTTTCCTTCATATTTTTCTTAATAAATGGTTTGTGGTTATCATGGGTTGGTTAGTTGGTTATTATTTTTTCCTTTGACTGGAGGTAATTCTCAGTGTTCATATATGTTGTGTTGCTCGTTTGTGATTTAGGCTGAATACATGGACACTGGGACATTGTGGGATCGGGTTAATGATGCTGTTGACACGATAATAAGGAAGGATGAGAGTGCGGAAACTGGAGAATTTTTGCCTCCTTGTGTTGAAGGTACTAATTGGTTGGTCCATATTTGTTCTCCATGTTTATTCTGCTTTAAAGTCTTGATTATTGAATTTGGGGATTTGCTGTTCCACTTCTTGGTATGAGTATGCTTTAGCTCAAGCTTACTCATACTCTCTTAATTAATCTTTCCTGTTTTGGTATCAATGAACAAGCTGTTGATACGTGATGCTTTCTGTTTGAAATGAATTTCAATGGCAGCGGCTCTTAATCTGGGCTGTGTTCCAGTAAGAGCGTCCCGGAGCCAACGACACAGTAATCCTAGGACTTACCTTAGCCCCAGGACTCAAGAATCTGGTTCAGCAGCCTCTAAATTTGTATGTGGAAATCCCAACGACCGAAACACTAATTTATTGCCTCCACAATTTGGCACTCAACTTAACCTTGAGAATTCGGGAGCTCGCTGTTTGGTTCCTGAATCTAATGGGCAAACAGGGCCAAATCTTCACAACCCCGCTGCTCCATCATTCAGGAGATTAAAGTTTCCAGTTGGCGAGCAGCTTAACTGGAAGGAGAGCAATGCTTCATTCAATGTAGGTTCTGTCTATCCTTTATATTATGGCACCAACTTCCAACCTGAAATATCTCAGTTGGGCTTTCAAGAACCCCACCTGTCCAAGGATATAATCATTGGTACACCAGTTTTTGCAACTGTTGAAAAGCCTAGTGAAATAGGTTGCATTAGGAGCTTATTATCAGCAGATAGAAATGAAACTGTGGCAGACAGAACAAAGCAACCTGAGTTTGCAGAGGGAGTTACTGAGAGTTGTGAAGGAGAGTGTGACTTGTCCTTGAGGTTAGGACTCTTTTCTAAGACTGTCTTCTGCGCGACCAAAGGGTCTGCTAATGATAGTTTTGGTCGGGGCAATTCGCAAGAAGAGGGAAAGATCAAGGCTATATCTTCATCTGCAGAAAAGAATTTTCCTTTCTTTTCTGCTAGTGATCCCTCTGTGTTGGGTTTAGGTAGGTTTAATAATATGGCAACTGAAGATCAGAATTCCGATGCATTTCTTAGAAAGCGTAAACTGCCTAATCATGGCAATGTGGATATTAGGCAAAGATTGTGGCCAGTAAACTCAGCTCCACATTATGTTTACGATCAAAGGAAAAGGCGAAGTTCGTAGATCATTCGCTTTTGTGTTGTATTAATGATTATTTAGACGGAAAAGCCATCACAGAGAGCAGGTTGTCATGCATTTTCCTCATAGGAAGTAAGTTCCACTCCAGTCGGACTCCAGGTTACCACAGCTACTTTGTTCCATGTGCCCTGTTCCCGTCCATGTGATCAAACTGAAGGTTTTGATAGTTGAAATTGCGGAGGGAAATGAAGCAAGCATTATGCAGAATGAGGATAAGAAATGAACCATTTGGTAGAAAGGTCAATGATTCAGAGTTGACACTGACTTCTTATCAATTACTCTTAGAAAGTTATAATGCAATGTCACTACCATTGATATCCTGCAATTTGAAATGGTCATTCTTCTTGATAACTACTCTTTTGTCAGGCAGGTCAACTTGATTGTGTATAGGCACTAGACGTGGATTTATGTCGTCCTTTCTAGCCTTTGTGAGTTACTATGTTTTAGGAAAAAATTTTCCAGCAACTAACGTGCAGTCTTGTGGTTTTTTCTAATGAAAAACCAATAGCATATTCCTATAAACTCCTCGTTTGGATTGCACTTTTCTAACGGCATACGTAATTGTGTACATGATGTTACTGATACGATAGTTGCTCCAATCAGATGAAGTATGAAAAGTGAGATAGAAGATCAACATATGGTAGTGTCTGATGATTTAAGTGAAATTTGGGGTTTTTCCGAACCAGGACAAAAATAGTAATAGCTTCTTTCTTCGGCTTATTAAATTAAAGCGACGAATTTGTAAAACAAGCCTACATTCTTTGAATTTTAGGAAAGCAAAAAGTAACAAAAATGTGTTTGCTAGAGTCTTTTGGTTTGATATCTTCAATCCGAGAAAGAAGATTCAAGAACGACTGATTGTGCGGAAACACATTCATAACAGTAACAAGCAAATCAGAGTACGTTTACAGAGATGTCCTGTTCTCCTTGGTCTTGAGTTTTTGGCCAAAAGATGGTCATTTTTTCGGTTAAATTGCAGCTCTTCACCTAGATTGAACCTAAAAAATTTCTCCTTCTCATAATAACAGTTTAATTTTTCTTAGAAGATAGTAATGCGACTATCATATAAGGGGTGAATTTGATGATGGAATTTGTAAAAAAAAATTATTTGCTTTTGGAGAAAACAACAACACATCAGGGGTGAATTTGAGCAATTAGAAAAGCAGCCTATGACTTGTATTATTAGTTAAATTATGAATTATCCCGTTATCCTCTACATAAGCTGAAAAGGGAAAAAGGAGGAGAAGGTTGGCCTTTTCAACGTTAATGACCTTGGAAATACTACTGGTTGCAACTTCACAATGTGACAGACGGTTGAAAAGTAATACTGTTACTTTCAGTTTTTTTTTTTTTTTCCCCGCAGTCAAACTTTTAAACGCGTTCCTTGAAATCTTGTCAAGTCGATAAGAGTAAATAATTAATCTATTAAATTCAATTTTTGGGGCTGGGAACCAAACTTTGAAAAGAGATGTAAACAGAAGAAATCAATTTGAAGGATACACCAAACATGTTTTTTTTAATAAAAAAAATAAAAATAAAAAGAAAAGAAAAAAAAAAACTTGGCCACGGTTAGTTTCAAAGTGATGTTTATATGTCAAAATATATTTCCTTACAGCTAAAGATTTTAAGCTCCTCCTGGCCAAAGAGGTACTCTATCCGAAAATGCAACCTTATCTTGTTGTCCAAATAATATTCTCTAAACCAAAACCTTAAATCAACTGAATTCGATGCCGTTACAGATAGACATATTACCAAACCGTTAAAAAGGTTTGTTTCTCTCTGTGTTATTTTTATTCTAATATTCTTATTCTGATTTAAAAAAATATATATGGTGCCAAAGACAAAAGGGGTTAGTTCTTAATATTCGGAAATTAATTTGTCAAGTTGAACTTAATTAACTGATTCTGATGAATCATTAATATGTTAATAAGTAAAATCCTATCCTGTTCAATCATTAACTGTACTTAATTAATTACTGCATCACCGGAAAATGTTATGTCAGAATCGAACAGATAGCGAAACCAAGTCACTGAAAAATGTGGTATGTTAATAAGTAAAATCCTATCCTGTTCAATCATTAACTGTACTTAATTAATTACTGCATCACCGGAAAATGTTATGTCAGAATCGAACAGATAGCGAAACCAAGTCACTGAAAAATGTGGTATATCACTTTTATTTGGTGTACAAATATGTAACTGTATATGGTTCAGCCTCTCAAGTGTAACGCAAAAAAACAATCATAGTCTTTTTTTTTTTTTTTTTTGGAATTAAAAACAATCAAATGAGTATAATAACACTACAACTTATTGTACATTAAATATATATAAAAAAAAGAATTTGTGACCACCTAAGCCCAACAATCTAATAGAAGAAAGCGAAGGCAACAGCCAAGAAAGTCAATGGCAATGCTGCTCCGGCGATTGTAGGAGCGGAGTTGGGCGGAGGAGGGGCGGAGGCCGCACCGGGAGACGATGGAGCCGGTGTGCCCGAGCTGGGAGATGGGGTGGTGCCGCCGCTGGTCGGAGAAGGGCCTGGTGCCGGCGAGGTGGATGCAGTTCCGGTTACGTTGATGGACAACTTTTGCCCCGCTAAACAGTGGCCGGGGACGGTGCAGATGTAGTACTTTTCGCCGGCGGTGAGGGTAATTCTGGCCGGTGCGGCTGTGATCGGGGTGACACCGGTGCCGTTGCAGGAATCATAGGCTGCCTTTGATGTCAAAGCTACAACATCATGTGCTCCGGTTGGGAAGTTGAAAACTGCAAACATATGATCACATCAGTCAAAAGTGAAAATTATTCTAATTAATTCTTCCAGAAATAATTGTCCAGTTACTTTAAATTTTTAATTTTTTAGTTCGAATAATCTCAAAAGCAAAAATTAAAGTGAATAATTATTTCGAGACACAAAAGTAAATAATTAATATGAACATGTTGAGAAAGGAATTGATTTTTGTACGTACCAAGAATGTCGCCGGCATTAAAAGTCTTGTTCCTGGCCCAAGTTTGGTAGGAGAACCCACTTGGTGGGATAGTCCAGCCCACGCTGTCTCCAACGATGTAAGTCTTTGGCCCGGTTTTGGACGGAGCCGGTGCCGGAGATGTTTTAGGTGCAGGGGAAGGTGAAGGTGAAGAGGTGGGTTCCGGTGTAGGAACCGGTGTAGGTTCTGCTACCGGTGGTGGAGAAGGGGTGGCCGGTGGTGGTGCCGGAGCCGGAGAGGTAGAAGGAGCAGCAGAAACATTGACAGCTAGTTTCTGGCCCGCGTCACAATGGCCCGGAATGGTGCAGAGGAAATAGTGTTCTCCGGCGGTGGATAAGTTAATGCTGGCCGGGCCGTTGGTGGTCAGAGAGATGGGACCTGCTGGGTTGCATGAATCAAAATTGGTCTTGGTAACCTTGGCTACCGTGTGCATTCCAGTTGTGAACTTGAAAACTGCATTCAGATCATTATCATCATTAACAAAGATTCTGCTTCATCATCAAGTAATTGCAAAATCATCGTCTAATTTGATTTTTTAATATTAGTACGATTTGAATTAGAAATGAAAATCCGAAAACTGGATAGTCATTTTGAGATAGAGAATAGCAGTAGTAACAGAATAATCTAATTAATGATCGGATGCATACCTAAGACGTCGCCAACGGCGAAAGATTTACCAGAAGTCCAGTTGGAATAGGCGGCGCGGCTGGGAGGGATGGTCCAACCCAATGCATCACCAACGTCGTATGTTTCCGCCATTGAGGAGTGAAATGTGGCGGCAAGACTTGCCACTGTGACCAACAACATTTTCAACATTGTTGCCTTTTGTTGTTTTTTGTGTTCTTTCAGGTTGCCCCTGTTTTTGTTGATCAAATTATACTAAGGGGTTTTAACTTCCAAGTTTGTTCTGTCTTAAAAAGTTAAAAACACTCGGAGCTGTGAAGTTTGGAGGGTTCATGCTCCGAGCATTATATAGGGATCTCAGGATGATGATGACAAGCACAAACGTGTGTTGGAGGCCAACAACCTAGGTAAAATGTATGACTAAGGCATTTCACTAATTTGACCAGTTTACAGCTCAATTACAAGAGCCAATTAAGGGATGTCTTGTTATTACAGTGGTTGACTTGACACATGGCTTAAAACAAAAAAAAAAAGCCAAGTCTACTCGGACAATGACATTTTACATGTAATAACAACAATTTCTTTTTTTTAAAAAAAAAATTATAATTAACTCATTTGGCTGAAATTTAGACTCGAGTAACAATTTCATAGGGACCAAGTCAAGTAGTCAACCATGACATGGGGGCCAAATCTAGTTACGGCTCCCACAAGTGTTAGCTGCCGAAATTTGAATTTTGAGACACCAAAAAGAAAAAAAAAAGGAAAAAAATTGTTTTCAAGAAATGGAAGGGGCAACATTTTGCTAATTTAGATACTGGTGGAGAATTATGTGAACTGGTAAGTTCTTACCTAATCTTTTGGACTTTGGGTTCACTCGTTTGTTCATATTTTCCTCTTCTTCTTCTTTTTGTTTATTTTATATATATATTTTTAATAATGTAAACGCCAAAACGTTCCAGAAATAATAGACTAATAGGACCAATTCAATTTGATTATTATTGGGATTTCACTTTCTTTCCTATCTCCTTTGTCTATGGTCGGAAGCTTTGGTCAAGGTAAAAAGTTATACAGTTACTAAGGCTTTGTTTGTTTCATTTTTTGATGGTTTTTTTAAAAATTAATATATTAATAATTGTCCCATCTCAGCATATCTTTTTATATTTTTAATACATTTTTTTATTTTTTCAATACAAAAAACATCTAAAAATACACACTAAAAAACAAAATAAACATACCCTAAATTTGAAACAGAACAAAAAAAAAAAGAAAAAAGAAAAAAAGGTAGTGATATTGTAGGAGGAGGCGGTCATACACGGTATGAGAGGAAGACGAAGAAGCATCCATGAAAAGGCCGAAGTCTTAATAGTGTGTAACTGTGTATCGAGTCTATTGAGTATAGACTACTCCGTCCATATTGTCACTTTGTCACGGCAAACAATTAAAAATCCGCTCAAAGTGTAATCTCATGTGTATTGCACGGAAGAAACTTTTTCTAAGCGAGGTATATATACATTTTCTCATAATTTTAAAAAATCGTATTATGTGACTAACCTCTGTAAAATTTTAAAACGGTACTAAATAATCACTAAATAATTAGTTAAAAGTTTCATTCAAATTTTTAGTTCCAACATGTTTCTAGTATAGAATTGTGATAGATCACAATTAAAAAGAAAAGTGAAAATTATTTACAACCTTCTTATTGTTTTTTTTTTTTAATTTATACCATTGATGCCCAATTATTTTTGTCTCTTTTTTAGAGGGGGAAAAAAGAGGAATACTCCGTTTCTCATATTCGTCAAACTTTCTGTGTTCTCACATATCTTCATTTTCCCAATTGAAGAATCAATGGTATGAGTACCTAACATTTGGTTAACTCTTTGATATGATGCTCAATCAATCCATCGAGTTAGGGACATGTACTTAACCAATTCGATCGAATCACAATTGACAAGTGTAATCAAGCATCTTGTAATAAAAAATTAAACGTGATTGCAGCATACATGGATGCATCATTGAAGAATATGTAAATTCATTCAGTAGTAGTTGCTTATAAAATTTACTATATTCACACACCTTCAATAATTTGCCATAGGTATTAATTTCAGCATTTCATATATAGTCAACTCAAATTATCTATACAACCTTCTCCCCATTGTTCATGCATTTGTTTGGTAACCTTAAAACTTTTAAACTTTTAACATATTGTCATACACCGATCCGACAACGAACCCCTTCCAGCTCAGATATATCATTGAGAATCTTCTCTTTTTTTTTCATTCTTTTTTATTGACACAATTTTTTTGTTAGGTGAGTGTTTTTAAGTTCGATAAAAAAAAAAAAGTTGAAATATGCAAACGCGATTTTATCTTTGACTATTCTATTGAGTACCGTACCTTCCGTTCGTTTTCGTTTGATCCATGATAAATAATTCTTTATCATTAAGATTTTGATGCGATATCATCCTTAAAGAATGTGATGGTATTAAGTTTATAAGTATTTTATGATATAAGAAAGAGGAAGAAAACTCCAAAAGTAGCAAATTAATAGATCAAGAGATTAAGCAGCTCCCACTGCATCATCATGACCACATGGATTAAGTCAATGATCCTTCGAGCAGAGATATATACAAATTGTCACAAATTAGTTGATAGAAAAAGGGGAAAAATTGGATAACAGCTGAGACCATTCAGCTCAAAATGAAATAATAGACTCCAAACTCCAAAGATCAACTTAGATAGTCGTACACAGTAAAAACATCTATAAATTAAAATTGATAAATTAATAATATCTATAAATTAATAATTTTCTCGGGTCTTAAGTCGAGACCAGTATAAAAAATAAATGTAATCGATAAAATAATAAAATAATAATTTTTCAGAAAACTCCCATGTAAATATAGGTCCCGTCAATATCATAAATTAATAATAACTTAAAATAAAAAAAAAGTATGAGTTGTATAATATGAATTAATAACGTATGTTTTCCTTTAAATTTACATCTTTAAGAGATTTTGCTTTTTTAATTTTTTTACTGCTTTCAGAAGCTCTGTTGTAGATTTTTTATATTGCAACAAAAAATTTTGAAAAGTTATTGTCCCATTAAGTACTTTAATTCGTGTAATTGGTTTCGAAAATATTAAATCATTATCATTTTTATATTAAGTCAAAGTTTTAGTGGGAGTAACTATAATGTCTCCAAATATTTCTTTTAAGTAATTAGTTACTTATTGATAAATTAATAATTATTAATGGTGAAAGCTTGCCTTTCTTCTCTCCCAATAAAGGACTAAGACAAGGTTGTCTTTTGTCTCCGTATCTGTTCATTCTCTGCCAACAGGTCCTCTCATCAGTTATTAGATAAGAAATTAGCACCTTTCCGGGACTTGGCATAAAAGTCAGCAGAAATGCCCCCAGGCTAAGCCATGTCATGTATGCAGACGACAACTTATTTTTTGTGGAATGTAAAGAGGATGCGATCCAAGCACTGGCTGGACTGATTGAAGTATATATGGCCTTTTCTGGACAGAAGGTTAATTTTAACAAGTCATCAATTCTCACTAGTTCTAATACTAGTCCAGAAACAAAAAATTTCCTACATTCTACTCTCATGATCCCCCAAGGACAGTTCCAGAGTAGATATTTAGGCATGAGCCTGGACTTTCAAGAAAAGAAGAAGATCATCTTCTAACAGTTTACGTCTAAATTGGCAGCCAAATTTGCAGATTAGAAGACTAAACTTCTCACTCTTTCAGGCCGTATTACTCTAGTCAAATCCACACTGTCATCGATGCTGGTGTACCCTATGGGTGTTTTCAAACTACCAGCATTTATTAGATTCAAACACTTTTTTGAAGAGCACTCCATGACGCTTTAGCTACCAGAACAGCACTAGCAAGGTGAGTAATTGAAATTGATACAGTCTATCCTCGATGTCACCAGCCAGAGGAGGATAGCCTTCACCTCTTTCTTCACTGCAGGGTGTCTAAAGAAATTTGGTCACTAGCTTCGACGTCGGTCTCTTCAATCCTCCAACATTTATAGTCATCCTTATTTCAAATGTTTGTACACTGGATTCAAGCATCCCCAGCAAAAGAGGACATTGATACCTTCCTCATTATTATCTGGAATATTTGGTTAGGAAGAAATAATACAATTTGGCGACAACAGGTTATGGATCTAATAGATGCATGGAGATTGATTCAAATGGAGATTTCCACACACAAACGACAACAGAGATAACAGTTGATTAAGGAGCGGATCACAAGATTTTCCTCACGACGAAAAGCATCCGCAGTTACAATTGATGGCTCCTTCAACCTGGCAAATTCGTCTGCGGCAGGGGCATGGAAGATCGTCTCCCCGTTTAATGCACATTTACAAATCGGAGCTGAACCATCCACGCAACCTCTCCTCTACAGTCGGAAGTCACTACCTGCCTTCTGGCTCTCCAACAAGTGTCTACATTTGGTATTTCAAGAATTAAAGTACACACGGATTGTGAATTTCTAACTATTACCTATCTCCGGGATCAACAAATCCCATTAGAAGTACAAGAAATAATACCAATCTTGATATCCCTTATAAACTCTTTTGAATCCTGTGAGCTGATTAAAGTTCCTAGATTAGATGTTTCTGAAGTTCATAATATTGCTTACTACAAAATGCAATGTAATAGCTTAGGAATTCCTTAATTATAAGACAAGTACTTTTATCAACAAAAAAAAATTATCGATAAATTAATACATCTATAAATTAATAATTTTTTGGATCCTAACAGTATTAATTTATAGATGTTTAACTGTACCTCACTATCCCATTTGTCCATTATAATAGTCTAATCTCTTAAATTTTACTCGTTCCGTCTTTAAAAAATAGTATACTTATTTGTTTTTAGTTTGGGTTTTTTTTTAGTGAAGATTTGGATTAAGGGCAGTAGATAAAAAATAATTAATAAAGAGGGCAACACTCTTGGATAATTTGTATTAAGAGCATATTCATTCAACAATCCAAACATGACTTTAACTCTTGAAATCAAATCTTTTTTTTTTCTTTTATTTGATTTTAACACATAAATTAAAATCTGTTTCTAAAATGTATAAATGATAATATTTCAATAGTAATATGAAAATAATATAAATATGTTGAATTTAAAAATAAAAATTAATATTTCCTAATTTTTATTAGTTGGTTTTATTTTTTCACATAATGTTAATTTTATTAAAGTAAATAATTATTTGCTTTCACATGAATCAAAATTTTTAAAATTCATTTTCCAAAACCTTATATTTAAACGAGCCATACAATATATTTTACAGCACTTAAAATAATATTATTTCTTCAAAAAAAATTTTAGTATCATATATTTTATAGTAGTCAAAATTTTAAAATTTAATAATATGAAAATTTATTATGTTTAAGTTTTTTAATCAATAATTACTTCAGTACTCTTATGTAATCAGGCTTACGAAAATATAATTGATAAACTTCCAAATATATAAAGCTATGTTTGTATGGTTGAATTGTTATGTCCTAATACAAATTATTCGAAAGTAGTGTCCTCTTTATTAATTATTTGTCCTCCATTGCCCTTTATCCAAATTTTTCCTTTTTTTTAATTAAAAAAAAATATGAAGAAGGCATATGAGAGTTTCTTACTTTCATAAAATGAACTACCAATTTACTAAATTTATGAAATTGTCCGAATAATATACATTTGTTTTTACAATTTTTTTATTAGATTATACAAATTCTAAAATTCAAAATAGAGAATTTTATGAAAACACAACAAACTACTATGCTGCACTAGTTTCATACTTCCGCATATTGATTGTTTCCAAAGAAATTATTGACTGGGCCGTCGAGAAAGTCGATGGTTCAGATTCAGTTAGCCCATTGATTTACTATCCGGCTGCTAATATACAGATTTGGGTTTCCCAAAAAAGAAAAGGACGCAGAACGAGCCTGGCTTAGTGTTTAGAGTATCTTTAGTGATACCAACCAGCACTTGGATCAGTTGGCAGGGTGCTGATCCAGCTTAAGCAGAGGTCTCGGGTTCGAGACCTTGTGTACGCAGTCGTGTTAAAAGGCTGGTTGGTAGAGGTTAGTTTATTAAAATATAAGCAATAAAAGTTAGTTTATTGTTTATTCCGTAACTGCTTAATGAAATTAGCATTTCTAATTCAGAATTAAGCATTAATTTTTATCAAACATGCATCTTATTATACTATTTATCATATCACAGAGTATAATAAATTGTAACAGAATAAAGATTGTTACACTTAGTGATACATGGTTTTGTGGGGCATCATGTAATTTTTGTAGGTTAGACCATTTAATACTTTTTGAAAAAATGGCCATTGTAGGAATTATATTTTAGTATCATTCAACAGTGATTTAATTAGATTACACTTTTGTAGTGTATAAACCAATGCAGACAGAAATTTAATAAAAGTATAGTATAATATTACGAAATGTTGGCATGACATCTCATTACACCCACAAGGGTGTAAATTATTGTGAATGCTCCTAGGTTGCTTCACACTTTGCTATTGGCAATGACGAACCCTAGTTATCACCCCAAATTATTTAAAATTGAGTAACTGTGTAATAAATTTCAATGTGGAATTTTCCCTACAATCACACCTCACCGAGTTTAGTAATAAGTCATATGGAAACTATATTTTTTATTTATTTTTTGTACAAAGAAGGATGAGACTATATTCATTAATTCTTCTTATTGCCAAACCGTAATACGAAAAAGATATAGTAAAAAGATAAGTCAATAATTAAGCACATATAGTCTTCACACACCGCTAAATCGATGGAGATTTTATTTTAAGTACGATGAATATCAAAGAGACGTACAATATGAATCTGTCATGAATGTAACAAAATCAGCCAATGCGTATCCAAATGTCAAAAGAAAGAAAAATGAAAAAAAAAAAAAAAAGAAAGAATATAAACCGTAATCAAAAAACTGAAAGAGACGCGAAAGCAATAGCTAGCAGGGAGACAAAGAATCCCAAGGCCGCCGGGTGACGGGTGGCGGAGCTGAAAGGAGCCGGAGCCACATCGGGTCCTTCAACCGGAGAAAACGAACCATCCGACGGAGGTTCGGCGATGCTGGGTGATCCGGTACCGGTCCCCAAGTCGGTGACATTGATGTTAAGTTTCTGTCCGAGGAAACAGTGGCGGGAATACGTTGACGTGAAGAAATGTTCACCGGCAGAAGTCAACGTGATCCTTGCCGGGCTGGTGGTTATGATTCTGATCGGGTTGCTCGTGTCACAGCTCCCGTAAGCTGACTTGGTCACCTCCACCACATCTTGAGTCCCGTTCTCAAAGTTGAATACTGGAGGAAAAAAAATGTTAATTCATGTTCCATGTGTTCCAATTTAAGTATATTATATTTCATTGTTATAAACTTTACTGCTTTCGTCCCGAAATTATTGTTCAATTTAAATTTTTATTTTTAGTACAAATTTAACTAAACATAAAAATCTAAACTAGACAATAATTAAGGAGAAACTTAATTACCTAGAGTATCTCCGACGGCGAAGATTTTGTCATAGGCCCAAGTTCTGTAAGCAATGGGACCACCAGGAGGGACAATCCACCCTAGCTTATCTCCAACAACGTAGGTAATTGGTGCCCTTGAAGTGACTGGTGTAGGACTAGGTCTTGGAGAAGCAGGACTTGAGGATGATGGTGATGACTGTGTAACGTTGATGACCAACTTTTGACCTAAGAAACAATGCCTTTCCAAGGTGCTTATGAAGTAGTATTCCCCAGGAGAGCTAAGAGTGTAACTTGCAGGACCATTAGTTTGAAGTGATATAGGGTTGGCTGAATTGCATGCATCAAATGCTTCCTTTGTTACTCTTGCAACATCTTGTTGGCCAGTTGTGAAGTTGAACACTGCAAAAACAATTATTTAATCAACACTCCATCTAGCTACGATCATCACCTTAATCATATGTATATATACATGTTTATCCAAACTTATATTATCACATCAAATTTTCTGTGTCACTTTTCGTGTATTACTGATAATTTCAATTAGATAAAGGGTTCTCTTATAGTTAGCTATATATAAATATCTTGAAAAGTGTTATCGTGCAATTAGATAAGTCTGAATATGTAACTTACATAGAATGTCTCCCGTGAAGAAAGTCTTGTCATAAGCCCAAGTTCTGTAAGCAATTGGACCACCAGGAGGGACAATCCATCCGAGGTCATCTCCGACGACATAGGTAAGCGGTGTCCTTGAGGTAGATGGGGTGCCAGCAGGAGGAGGAGGTTGAGGACTAGAACTTGGTCCAGCTGATGATGAAGATCCTTGAGGTACATTGATAGCCAACTTTTGCCCCAAGAAACAATGCCTATCGAAGGTGCTAATGAAGTAGTAGTCTCCTGGTGAGCTAAGAGTATAATTTGCTGGACCTGTTGTTTGAAGTGATAAAGGGCTGGTAGCATTGCATGCATCAAATGCTTCCTTTGTGACTCTTGCCAAATCTTGCTCTCCAGTGTTGAAGTTGAATTCTACATATACGTACAATCATTAAACTCATGTATGTTAAATGTTAATACTCGCGCATTAAATTCAAAGATAGAAACTTGATACTACCAGAAGATGGAATTTAATATTACTGATCGAAAATAGAAGGAGATCTTATGGATGGTAATGAAAAGAGAACACATTTAATTACATACCAAGAATGTCACCGGTGGAAAAGGTTTGCAAAGAAGCCCAAGTCGAATAAGCAATGGGACCTCCAGGAGGTACTATCCAACCTAAGCTGCCCCCAACAACGTGAACTTTTTGAGCCTCTATGGTGTATAAAGAAGTTGCTAATACTAAAGCAACCAAAAACGCCAAAACAGAAATCTTAGTCCTCATCATGTTTGATTTGATTCACGAATTTTTCCTAGGAAATTCGAGAACTGGTGGGCTAGGGCGTGTGTAAGTTTGTTTAGACACAAAAAAGTGTGTTGATTTAGATAATGCTGTTATACTCTAGTCTATTTATATATATATTTATATATATATATATATATATAAATAGAGTATGTTGTTGCTTGACTTTCCCCGCAACGAAAACCAAATTTGAATCAGTTTCAGAAGTTTCTATTCTTATCTGGTGTCTTTTGTTTAGTTACTAACTTCCGTCGTCGTTCGAAACACTAGTGTAGTGTTTTGGGTTATTAAATTTGGTTTGCTTTATTCCATTTTTTCACGTTCAATCCAAATTAAGTCAACATATGCGCGCACCTGCCCTGAAAACGGGTTAAATCCCTCCAAATTAAGTCAACATATGCGTACACCGGCTATCATCTTGGACATAATTTGGGGTTGGTTTGGTCTATATTTTTGACTTGGACAAAAACAACACAAACATATTTTTTTCCTGCCTTTGCACTCATGGTATATACATATGCATGTCTAAAAAGATATAATTACTCCTCAGTTCTGTTCTTATTTATAAGAAGATATATTTAACTCTTCAGTTAATTTTAAAGATCTGCGTTATCAAATATAATCGGGGTGTCTAAGTGAACGTGCATGTGGTTAAATTGGTAGGTAATAAACCTCGCTCCATGATTCATGAAAGGGGAAAAAAAACTTACTTTTATGTCACTAGAAGAGGAGGAATTTTTTTTAAAAAAAAAAGTAAAAAAAAAAAAAAAAGAAGAAGAAGATGAAATTCAACTTTATGTTTTTCTTGGGCATTACTTGGTGGTCGAAAATTATAGTTGCCAAGGTTCTAAGAAACCAGAAGCAAGCACGTCTTACATTATAACTAGAAAATATCAAAAGACCGAGTCAGTACTGAATTCAAAATTAGATTGATGTTAATTTCTTGATCAAGGCCAACGTTGACTTGGGAACACATAGAAGTATAATTACTACTAATTTCCACTAACTTTTTTTTTTTAATAAAAGACCAAAACTTTATAACAAGAGATTAAAACACACTACTGGGGGAGAAACACTGACTTTGCGGTATTTCATACCCTTTTGACCAACACCATCAGGCAAACCAAAAAAGACGCTAAACATCCCAGAGCTTGAAGATGCAATATTGGACGCCAAGTAATCCTTATTAATTTGAATTAAAACTTCTTAATTTTTTTTTATAAGTTCACATGTTTCATTATATATTTGTCACGCCTCTATAAATTTGATTTCTATCTAAATTTGTTAGTTAGTTAGGGAAGGTTCGAAATGACCAGGTCAACGCGATTGAAATTGTGTGAGAACCCGCAATATCCAAATTAAATAGCCCGCTATACGTGAAAAGAATGTCTTCAACATTCACAGGAAGAAAAATTGAGACTGACTATACCAATTGTTTCTCCATCTAGAAGGTCTTCTAGCTTCTTCATCAAGTAATAACAAAACGGTACCACACACAAAACAAACAAGAATGATATCGAGGAAGAAAATATTCTCTCTCTCGTGGTAATACTTCAAATTCTAAATTATATTATACTGTTTTTAATATAATTTATAATTTATAATGTGAACTATATTTATAGGACGGAAAACATAATATATTTCAGAAAGCAAAGCAAGCATATGCGAGAAAATTAATGGTTCTAATTAAGCCACTAATTATATAGGCAACCCGGCTAACTAGGTAGGCAAAGAAAGCCATGAAAAAGGGGAGAAATACTACAAATTAAAGAAGCAGCAAATATTGTGGGCACCGCGGAACTACTTCGCGGTGGAGGCGACGATGATGGTGGTGGTTGTAGATTCGTGCCTGGCGGAGATGATTGAGGAGATGGACTGCTTGTTGGGGATCCGACCGCCGGAGAAGATGCAACATCCGTAACTGTGACAGGAAACCCTATTAGGATAGCCGAATTGTTATTCATCGTGAGTTTCTGAAGTACATATAGTAAAGTCTAGGATTACACATTTACCGTCCTAGCATTTACAGTTTACTAAGACATATATATAGTAATATTAATCCGTAACACCCTCCCTCATATTGGTGCATGCGGATTCCGGATGCCCAACTTGTCAATGAAGAAATCAAACTCTCGCTTTCCTAGGCTTTTGTAAAAATATCTGCAAGTTATACCTGAGTAGAAACAAAGCTAGGAGAAATAGTACCCTTAAGAAACTCATCACGAAAGAAATGACAATCGACTTCAATATGCTTGGTGCGTTCATGGAAGACCGGATTAGCAGCAATGTGAAGAGCAGCTTGACTATCACAATATAACTGAATCGGCTGAGAATGAGAAACACCAAGACACAGTAAGAGAGACTTTAACCAAATCAACTCACATGTAATGGAAGCTATAGAACGATATTCAGCTTCAGCGGAAGAACGAGTCACAGTATGCTGCTTCTTGGTCTTCCACCAGATAGGAGAAGTACCCAACTGAATGAACCAACCAGAAAGAGAACGGCGAATCAAAGGACAACCCGCCTAATCGGAGTCACACCAACCGTAAAGGCGTAAATCAGGATTGCCCTTCAAATAACGAACAACCCAAAGAGCAGCATCCCAATGCTCGCGAAGAGGATTATGCATAAATTGAGAAAGCATGTGAACAGAGTAGGATAAATCAGGACGAGTAACTGCAAGATAGATCAAGCGACCAACCAAGCAACGATACCTATCAGGATCAGGAATAGGATCACCATTAGCAAGCGGAAGCTGATGATTCTGATCTAAAGGAGAACCAGAGGGTTTGGCACACAACAAGCCAACCTCTGAGAGAATATCCAAAGTATACTTTCGTTGGCATAGAAAAATACCAGAAGAATTATGAGCCACCTCTATACCAAGAAAATATTTAAGAACACCAAGATCTTTCATATAGAACCAGTTACTCAAGTATGTCTTAAAAGCAGCCACAGCAGAAGAATCATTGCCAGAAACAAGAAGATCATCAACGTAAACAAGCACATTCAGAAGAACAGAATCCTTTTGAAATATAAACAAGGAATAGTCAGAATGAGACTGACAAAAACCATACCGCTTTAAAGCTCCAGCAAGCTTAGCGAACCAACACCGAGGAGCCTGTTTAAGACCATAAAGAGAACGCTTCAAGCGGCAGATTTGACCAGGGGAAGTAGAGCAAAAACCAGGAGGTAATTTCATGTAAACCTCCTCATGAAGATTACCATGCAGAAAGGCATTATGGACATCCATCTGATGAAGTTCCCAGTTTTTCGCAGTAGCAACAGCGAGAAACGTGCAGACAGTCACCATTTGGCAACAGGAGCAAAAGTCTCCTTATAATCAAGACCCTCAACCTGATTGTGGCCCAAAATGACTAAGCGGGCTTTATACCGTTCAACAGAACCATCGGATTTATACTTTATTTTATAAACCCATTTGCAGCCTATGGCCTTTTTCCTGGGAGGAAGAGACTCAAGACTCCAAGTATTATTCTTCTCAAGTGCGTCAATTTCAAGTTGCATCGTTGAACGCCATTTTTCATCTGAGACGGCTTCAGCAAAAGTATGAGGCTCAACAGTAGCAGACACAGCTGCCAAAAAAGACTGATGGGCCGAAGAAAAGGAATTACAATCAACATACTGAGCTATAGGATACGGCGTACCTTAAGACGATGAAGGACCGGATGAACGAGGAGGGGGGCGAATAGTGTCATGAACATAGTCCCGCAGACGAGTAGAGGGAAGCTTCGTGCGATGACCACGACCCAGTAAGTCATGAGGTGCAACAGAAACAAGCGGTGGAGAACCCCCCCTGTCGTCAGCACCACTAGAAACAGGAGGGGGGACGGAATCAGAAGGTAACCCCGAGGAAGGAACAACCACAGAAACAGGCTCATCAACATCACTTTCGGAAACCACATCAGGCCAAGCCCCAGAAGCAAACAAAGGAACATTAGAAGAAGCACTAAGACTAGGCACCGAATAAGGAAATTCGGATTCACAGAATTTAACATCCCGGGAAACCAAAAAAATCTTAGACTCAAGATCATAAACCGACCAACCCTTTTTCCCAAAAGGATACCCCAAAAAAGACACATTTTCGGCTGCGAGAAGCAAACTTATCACCAGAACGATCTTGATTATGAACATAACAAAGACAGCCAAAAACGCGTAAATGATGAAGACTAGGAGGTTTTCCAAACAACTTTTCATACGGAGTAGAATTATGTAGAATTGGAGTAGGAGTGCGATTTATGAGGTAATCAGCAGTCAAAACACAATAACCCCAAAACTCAATCGGCAAATTGGCCTGAAAACATAAGGCACGCGCAACATTCAAAATGTGCTGATGCATACGTTCTACACGACCATTTTGCTGAGGAGTACCAACACAAGAAGTCTCATGAAGAATACCATTTTCCCGAAAATAAGGACCCAAACAAAGAAACTCGATACCATTATCACTTCGAATAGCCTTAACCAACTTATGAAATTGTCGATTCACCATAGCAACAAAATTACGCAAAGTAACAGAAACAGCACTTTTATCAGGAAGTAAATAAATCCAGGTTGCTCTTGAAAAATCATCCACTATAGTTAAAAAATAACGTGTTCCACAAGAAGCAAGAGTGCGATAAGGACCCCACAAGTCACAATGAATCAACTGAAAAGTTTCAACAGATCTAGAGTCACTAAGCGGAAATCTGTCTCTAGAATGCTTTGCACGAAAACATACATCACACACTTTATTTGAACTAGCATGAGAAACTGAAGAACTGAAAGAAAATAACTTTTCGAGCGCCTTGAAAGACGGGTGACCCAACCTTTGATGCCACAGGTCCAAGGATCCCTCTACACGTATTGGTGCCGCCATTGCCTCAACAAAGCTACGGAAGAAATATAGGCCCCCCAATTGTTCACCCGATCCAATCACCATCTTCGAGATACGGTCCTGTACAAAGCAAATACTATGAGTAAAATGCGCCTCACAATCTAAATCTCCCAACAATTGAGAGAGAGAAATTAAACTACACTTCAAAAACTAGGTACATATAAAACATTAGAAAGAGTCACA